ATGAGAATATTGTTATTGCTTTCATTATCCTTTTCTTCTTCAGCATTTATCTGAGTCAAAATACCAAGAGCTTCAAACATGTTTTCTCCAGTATACATTTTTGTCGTTAATCTTTTTCATCAGTTCAGTGCTTCCTTTCTATCTTATGCTTAAATAAGGAAGCAGCTATTAAAATAGTAATTTTTAGCTAGATTGTATTGACAACTATTTCATTGTTGCATCTTAATTTAGTGCTCCGTTTTGTTGCATTTAAGTCATGTATCTGTTAGCGTTTCGTTTCTCTACAATTTAATTCCTGGAGCACTCATTGGAGGCCAACAAGAAAAGAGCATTTTTCCACATGTGCCATGTTTGTTATTAGGTATGTGTGTGTGTTTCCTGAGGCATAAAATTATCAAGTAAATGGTGCAGTATAGCTTATTATTAAACCTGGTAGCATTGTGTTAGCTACTAACCAAAAGGTCAGCACATCATCCCCATCATCTAGTCCTATGGAGGAAGATGTGACACTACTTCTATAAAGATTCACCACCGTAGATCACTGAGCGGTAGTCCTGCTCTGTCCTAAGTACCACTATGAGTTGGAATCCACTCTTTAGCGATTGATTATAGCGCATTTACAGGAAGATTCAATAGTATAATTATGTAAATTTAAATTTAAAAAATATTATTTTAAATTGCACCTTTAACCCAGCTACCTGAATGAAATACATAAAATTAAAAACACACCCTTTCCACAAAGATGGCGCTGAAGGCGAAGAAGGAAGCGCCTGCCCCTCCCAAAATGGAAGCCAAAGCAAAGGCTTTAAGAGTCAAGAAGGCCATGCTGAAAGTCATCCACAGTCACCAAAAAAAAAAGATCCGCGCATCACCCACCTTCCGACGGCCCAAGACCTTAAAACCAAGAAGGCAGCCCAACTACCCTCGGAAGAGGGTCCCCCGGAGAAATAAACTGGACCATTATGCCATCATCAAGTTCCCCTTGACCAAGAGTCTGTCTGCCATGAAGAAGATCGAAGATAACAGCACACTTGTGTTCATTGTGGATGTCAAAGCCAACAAACACCAGATCAAACAGGCTGTGAAAAGCTCTATGACACGGACGTAGCCAAGGTCAACACCTTGTTCAGGCCTGACGGTGAGAAGAAGGCATATGTTCGACTGGCTCCTGACTGACGCTGTAGATGTTGCCAACAAAATTGGAATCATCTAAAGTGAGCCCAGCTGACTAATGCTAAATACAAACTTTTTCAATATAAAAAAAATACACAATTCACTTGAAAAGTTAATAGTTTGTATAGTTTGTTGTATTTCAAACATAGGTATATATGTCCACAATTCATTCAGTGAGATGGGACATTAATGTGATTTGGGCATGGTACAAACACTATAATATACACAACCATCCCCATGAAATTCATTTTTAAATCTCTGTAAAGATGATTGTATTTTAAAACTTTATGGGAGCCAGACAAAGCTCAAGAGTGTATCCACTAGATGCAAGACACTAGCCCTGCCAGGTGTGCAGCTGAGCTGGGTGCGGTGAGGTATATGGAATGTGAAGAGCTGACTACAGAAGACTGCAAGGGGAGCAGATAGCCAGAGCCAGTATCCCATGAGTGCGCTGGCAGGCAGCATAAAGGCAGGAAGAAATGCTGTGGGAATTGGAAAGTGCCCTGGAGCCCCAAGTTCTTTCACTCTGGTGGCTTAAACTGAAATGACTTTTTTAAAGGAGAACTACTTCCCTTTTTTGGAAAAAAAACCAAACCATATAACACATCAGACATGCGTATGGTAGGGTATTGCGTAGATCAGGGGACCTCAAATTACGGCCTGCGACCCACATGCGGCCAGCTGAGGACATTTAGCCAGCCCGCCGGGTGTTTTTGCCCAGTTTTGTGTTGTTTACTTAAAAATAAGATATGTGCTGCTAACTCTCTGGACCTTCACTGGAGCCTAGGGGCAAAGAGCAAGGATCTGCCTACTAATTGGCTGGCTGGAAAACGCAGCCCCACACCCTGCATAGCTGCCCGGGCTCTTTGTGCCCAGTGTCTACCTGCAGGCCCACAAGGCTGGGAGGCATCTCTGCCAATCAGAACCTAGCCAGCTGATGATGACACTGCCCCTGGGAGGAAAGTTCTGCAAAGCGCCTGCGCGGGATTGCCATCGTGCCCCCTCGAGGCCCTCCAAGAGTGCGATGAATTCGAGCGGGCAATCGGCGTACCCTTTCTGCAAGTGACCAGTGCGGCCCCCACCCCACTTGGCTGAGGTCTGCGATTCCATGGTGAATGTTGCCCATGGATTATGATTAGCCATCGGAAATAAGTTCCACGCCCCACCCACTGCGCACCCAGGCTCGTGCGCGTGCCCAAACCAGCAAGCACAGGCACGGAAGGGCGGCGCAGCTGCCATTGCTCACTCTACTGCCAAGGGGAGCAGCCTGTTACTGGAAGTCCACCGTCTCGTGGGGGAAGGCCATTGCCTGGGATCCATGGTCCAGGCCTTCCTCATCCACACCCTGCGGGCCCGAATGACGAGGACACAGGCTTTTGCTGAGTGCTCTACTCCTGTGTCTTTGGTGCCGAGAAGTCACCTGATGACCCAAGGCCCAACGGGGCGAGAGGGACAGACTCCTCCGCAAGGAGCAGATCTTGGCCGTTGCCAGACAGGCGGAGTCTTATGTGCCAGCTGCAGCAGCAGGCGTCCGGCCGTTCATCGGTGGACCTGCAGCCTCTGTCTTCCTCAGGTGAACCAACGTCCCTGCATGAGGCCCCACATGGGGCCTTCCGCCTGGCAGCAGGGGACCCTTTCTGGGGGTCCCGGACGGTGGTGTGGCTGGTCCTGGATGCCCACGAGAACCTGCTTCTGGCTGAGAGTACCCTTCGGCTGCTAGCACGTCTCCTCTCTGACCACCTCCGCCTGCTGGCCCCCGGCACCAACCTTCTGCTACGGGCGGACCGCATCGAGGCCATCCTCACCTGCTTCCTGCCCCATGGTCAGCTGCTCTTCCTCAATGGCCAGTTCGTCCAGGGCCTGGAGAAGGAGCTCAGCACTGCCTGGCCCCTCTGACCCTCTCTCTAGAAAGGGGCTGCCCGAGAGGGTGGGGAGGGAGGACAGAGGCCTGGCACAGTCAGATGAAGAGCGGCCTCTACCTCCCGCTCAGCCTGCACCAGCTCTGATGTGCTGCCCCACACGGGACAAATGGACGGGCCAGGGCTCCAGAATCACAGCGCAGCCCGGGCCCAGAGCAGGGGCATGACTGATTCTGTCCGGTGTCGAGCCCACCCCGCTGCTCCACTCACCTCTCCCCTTTCTGACCTGCCAACCCGCCCCCGACAGCGGCTGGGGCCAGGGCAGCGAAGGGGGTCTGCTCTGCACACTGCCCACATCGCCTTCTCAAACCCATGGGCGCACCAGTGTGCCTGGGGGCGCTGTTCCTCCCACATGGACAGGCTCTGACTTGGCACGCCCTGTGGCAACAGCAACAAAGATGGTTGTCAGCGAGGTCAGCTCGGAGCCCGGTCCCGCCACATTTCAGAAGCATGTCTCCGTGGGAGGCTTTTGTTGTTTCTTAGGTTCTGGCCCTTGTCTCCAGAAAATTCTGGCTTTCCCCCACCACCACCAAACCCCCCAACACCCCCCCCCCCCAATCTACGAAGAGAGAAGACCCCAGTCAGGTGGATGCAAGCAGCCTGGCCTCAGCGTTGTCAGCTTCTCATTTTGAATGAAAAACTCGGCCTGTGTGATCTCACCCTCTGTTTCCAGGAGTCTAAGTGATACAGGTCTACAGCTGAGATAGCGGGAGAAAGATGAGGTGGTCTTCCCATACAGAGCATCTCAGAACCTTATGTGGGGGTCACAGTGAGTCCGAATGCACCCCTGGCATTGGGTTTGGTGTTGCTTTGTGAGTAAGCACCTCTCTGGATGGGGGGGCTGAATAAACTTGTTGCCTTCACCTCTCAAAAAAAAAAAGATGTGCAGTATGCATAGGAATTTGTTCATAGTTTTTTTTAGAACTATAGTCCGGCCCTCCAACAGGTCTGAGGGACGGTGAACTGGCCCTCTGTTTAAAAAGTTTGAGGATCCCTGGCCTAGATAATAAGAAACTCTTAATACCTATGCTATTATTTATCTTTTATTATAGTTCCAAGTCAGAGTTGAACTGTGGAAAACATTTTTCTGTATAGAAATATAAATAGTATTGTGGGTAAAGAGCTTTGGTGGTGTAATGGGTAGCAAATTGGGCGGCTTACTGCAAAACCACCTGCCATTCTGTGGGGGATGTAGCCATGAAAAACTGACTTAAATGATTATCTAGCTAATTGCTTAGAAACTTTATCAATATCCAGGTCCAAATTAAAATTATTGCTTGAAAAAAATTGTTTGAAGAAATACTTGCTGATATGTGTAATTTATTATTTGATCACACATAGAGCGAAGCATAAAAACTTGGTGTTTAAAGTATGGAAAGAGTGCTATGAAATGTTAGTACTTGTATGCACAGGTAAATAAAGGTATTGCTAATAACAATGCTTTATTCAAAGGCTATGAAATTACTTTAAGTATTTCATTAAAACATTTTATCCTGTGTGTGTACATTTGAAGTAGATCATTGGAGCCAGGAACAATATAAATGTTTGGAACTTGGAAGCTTTTGCAAGGCAGAGACTTCTCAGGGAAGAATAATTTAAACAAAACAAGACAAACCCATTGAGTTCCAGCTCCCACCAGATTCATTGTATAAGTAAAATATCAAAAGGTGGGAAAAGAAGAGTGTATTAGAAGAAGGACCAAGTTAATACCTTCTGAGTATACTCTTGTGATCAGAGGCTCTGTTTTTTTTTAAATAAATATTTTCTCAGCTATGTCCTTATTAACAGGTTGGCCGGTGATAATTTGAGATGATATCTTCTTCAGACCTAGAGTAACTATGACCTGAAGTCAATTTTATATGCTTTAAAAACTATACAAATAAACTAGAAATACCTTAATGAATTTGTTTTCCTGGTGTGAAGCCTAATAATATAAAAAAGAGGATGACATTTAATTTTTCCTGTGTGTAGAGATGTAGCAGTGACAAACACACACAGCTTATTGTAAAAGGAAATAGATTTTAGTCGAACAGTTTACCAGTTGCCACAGTCTTTGTTGTATACTCCTTTATGTGTTCACTAAATTTTGTTACTGTATGTACTAATTTTTGTTGTGTTCAGACTCTATTTTTTGGATACTCATTGCCATTGTGTTGTTTTTGAAATCCCTCTATAGAATTGCCAAGATTGCAAATCTTTAAGAGCAAAGAACCTCTTTCTCCCACAGAGTAGCTGGGGAGTTTGAGCCTTCAATCTTCAAGTTAGCAGCCCAATGCCTAGTCCACAGTGCCTCCCTTTAGTATTGGAAAGATGAATCCTTTATCATTACTCCTTTTAAAGGCCTTTTTGACTTTTCTTAATACTGTTAATTTTGTTTTTAAAAAATGTAATGCAGTAATAATATGGAGAAATAAAAAGGAGGCATCCAAAGTTTTGTGGGGGAAATGCCATTTTATTTTAATTACATTTTCCCATGAGCTTTTGGGAGCTCATTTGTGTATAAAATTGCAATATAAGAGTGATCAAAAGCTGAATATAATGAATCAATACAGTAGTATAGGTGAAAGCTAGACTCTACATAAGGGGGAAACATGTCAGTGGAGGAAGATTAAAATATTTTCCATTAAATAAAGAGTTCTAAAAAAGTGGTGGCTGCACCACATCGAAGGCAGGAGACCCAGGAAAACAACTGCAGGTGAGCCTTCAATCGGAGTTCCACCTGTCACTGGTTTCATTATATAAAATATCCCCACCCACCAGTTGTCCTTTAACCAATTCTAACTCACAGCAACTCTACAAGACAGAGTAGGACTCCTTAGAGTTTCTGAGACTGAGACTGTAAATGTTTACAGAACCAGACAACCTCATTTTGCCCTTGAGAAATGGGTGTTAGGTTAGAACCCCAACTTTGGTTAAGCCTGATGCTCCACCCACTGTGTCACAAGGGCCCCTTTGTATTACATGGATTCCAAAAAAATCAAACTCATGAGTTGATCCTGACTCCATAGTGGGTTACTGTTTGACTGATAATCACAAGGTCAGCAATTCAAAACTGCCAGCTGCTCTGCAAACGAATGATAAGGTTTTCCAGTCTTGTAAAGATTTATAGTCTCCCAGACTCGGGCAAATTTGATGTCTTATGAGTCATTGTGTATATTTATAAAACTCACTGCCATCAAGTCAATTCCAACTCATAGGGACGCACCTGTAAGACAGGATAGAACTAGTTTACAAGATTAGAACACTTTACGGGAGTAGAAAGCCATGTGTTTGTCCCGAGCAGTGGCTAGTGATTTCTAACTGCTGACTTTGCATTGAGCAGCCTAATACATAACTACTACGCCACCAGGGCTCCCGTATCAGTATGTATGGCTTCAAAAAATTCAGACTCACTGATAATCTAATCATTTCTGACTCACAGAGACCCTATATGGCTGACTTATAATGCTTGTTGGGTTTCTGAGACCATAACTGTTTACTGGAGTAGAAAGCCTCATTTTTCTCCTCCCGATCAGTTTGTGATTTCAGACTGCTGAACCTGCAGTTGCTAGCCCATGTGTAACCCACTAGCCACAGGGCTCTTATATAGCTTTGAAATCATTAACTATATAAAACTTTAGAATTGAGAAGTTAAGGTTTATATTTTTTTCTATGTATTATTATGAACATACATATTTATAATACTTTTTTGTTGTAAGCTTGAAGTTTTTTTAGTAGCGGCTTTCTCTAACTAGCAATTGAGGAACATCTTTTTCTTAAGTTAACTTCATTTTTTAAATAGTTTTTGTTTCGTGCTAATAAAACATAGTTGACAGTGTTCTATAAGAATTGATAATATTGGTGTATACTTTTACCATCATTCAGGATTATTTTGTACGTTTGATAACTCTTAGCTGATTTTAATGACATTTAATAGAGTAAATGTTAAACTTTATAAAGTATTGATACATGATATTCTTACACTATAGTATTCTTGACTTCCAGAAAAATATTCCTTATAAAACTTGGGGGTTACTTCTAACATTTATGAGAAGTTTGACAAGATGATTAAGAGAGCATGATATTAGTCCTGATTACAGAATATTCAAAAGAGTCAGATATGAGATGTTGTACTTAAACTTCTTATATATTTTTCCTTTTTTTTTAAATCATTTTATTAGGGGCTCATACGACTCTTATCAGAATCCACACATACATCACTTGTGTAAAGCACATTTGTACATTCATTGCCTTCGTCATTCTCAAAACAAACTTCTTATATTTTAAGAGTCTGAAAATATGCCTGTGAATTTGAAAAGATAGTCTTAGATTCCGTTCTTCATATTTACAATTTAAAAGAGCAAATGCTTTTTTTGTCAGTTTTATTACTCTTAATTGTTTTATAAATTTTCATTTAGTTAGTAAATCAAGCTTTAAGAGAACTCATGGAAATAGAAGATGTGAGTGGAAATATATTACAAGTTCACCTAAATGGTAAGTATTTTCATTTTGTCATTAAAAATAATATAAACCATGTAGTCTTTCTATACTCTTAAAGAAAATTCATTTTTATGCGTTATCTGGGGCTGGTATTATAGAAATACAACATATTGGTGACTTTAATGAACAGAAACATAATTTCTCACAGGGTGCCAGCTCAAGTTTCTATGTTCACATTAGAGGGAAATCTTAAACTGTTCATTTTTTTTTTTGCTTACTTCCTTGGCAATGTGGTAAGAAATCTATCTTCCCCCATCTCTTCTTGCTTAATATGATCATATTATATCTCAGAGATGATTGGCTTAAGACACACCCTACACTGATATAGCATTAATATATACATCCACCAAGTTTAGATTAGGATTTGGAACACTTTTATTTGAGAGCACAGTTCAAGCCCCAACAGTATGTTTTCAATTTCAGTATGTTTAAATTTCAAAGAGCATTTGCTCTTTTAAGTTATAAATGAAAAGAATAGTTATGTTGGAGAAACTGTATCCATGTTTAATGACCTTTATCATATCTTACACTATAATTTTAATAATTAAATAAAGCCAAAAGAAGTCTCTGCTGCCTTATTTTTTTTAAACACTACCCCCAAAGAGGATAGTTCTTTGAATTTTTTTTTTTTATAGTTCTTTGAATTTACCAAATGTCTTCATTTGTGACTATTTAAAATGAAATAATGTAAATTCGTAGGCTTTTGATGCTTTTCTTTCTAGTTAATAAAGAAAATATTGGGAATTGGGCATGCCTGGGAAATAACCTACATCCCATCAAGTATGTGCTTCATTTTCATTAACGACTTTCAAATGGGTCTTATTTCAGGGTTGCTGCAGATAAATGATAAAATTGCTTTAAAGGAAATCACAAGGCAGTTAAATCTGGAAAATGTAGTTGAAGATAAAGTTTTTGTAAGTATCATCTCAATTGTTTTTAGTAAGCTTCAAAGTAAAGTTTGCTTTACTTTATGTAGATATTCTTATCTTTTGGAGGTTAGGAAAGGTTTTAGAGATTCCAAATTGATGATGACACTCACATATTTGGACACGATAGTCAGTAGAGACTAGTATCTGGAAAAAGCCATCGTACTTGGAGACATAGAAGGTATACACACACACCACCACCTCCACACACAACAAACACACACACACACACCACCACCCCCATTCCTGAACATAGATTGACATAGTGGCTGCAATATAGTAGCTGCAACATAGATCGACAGTGGCTGCAAATATAACAACATTCATGAGGAATGTTGGCACTATTCATGGGATTGCTATGAATCAGAAGAGATTTGATGGCACCTAACAAAATATCACAGAGTTTGTTTGCTGGTCTTCTGAGACTTTGGTGGAAATCTCACATATCAAGCCACAATTTCTAATTTTAATTGCTTCCTTAATCATTTCCTAGCTGGTTATCATGGCATATGGATCTAAATTGCAAATGTTTCATTAGGTTGGCCTTATTTTATAGTTCACAGGGTTATTTTTTTTTTAATTATTAAGGATAATTTCTATTTAAAAAACAAATTTAGCTGGATGGCAATGTGTGCTGTGCAGTTTGAATTATCTCTTAGTAAATGTATTTTCAGAAACTATTCTTAACACATTGTTAGGACAGTTTTAGTAGTGAACATCAGTAATAAAAATAATAACCTTTTGTATGATTCTATATACTTTAAAACATTCCTTATTTTTTTCAAAACCATGTCATTGGGAGTTAGTACAGATATCACATAATTCCATAGTTCAAGCACATCAAGCAGTGTTGTACATTTGCAACCACAAACAGTTTCAACACATTCTTTTCCTTCTTGAACTCCTTAACATCAGCTCCCTTTTACCCCACCCCTGTACTCCGCAGAGACCCGTATTCTACTTGCTGTTTCTATAGGTTCATCAATCCTGGGTTTTATATACTGGAAAACATGTAACAAAAATTTAAGAGGGTGATCCCAATGACATACATAACACATCTGAGATAGACCCCATATGAACAAACAAAAAGTAACAAAATACTGAAAATGTTGAAAACCATATCAGACCCAACCTGCTCAACTGACAAGGTTTTATTAAGTTCAAGTCAGGTTTTTCATTTGGATCTTCTGTAGTCACCTCTCCAGTGCACTCTGTCCACTCTCCTCCCTTCCCTCTGTTGTGGATCGAGAGAGATCACCAGGGGCATATTTCCTATGTCGCTCCCACAAATGCATCTTGGGCTCCCACTGTCATCCATTGCTCTGCAAACCAGAGTCTCACAATTGAGGCTCTAATAATATTCCCTCCTGCAACTTCAGATTATATGATTTGCAATCTTTTAGTCATTTCTTACACTTTTAACTCATCGCCTACTTTATATGCTTTAAGGGAAGCTGTGACACAATAATTTAATTTGGAGTTGCTTTGATTTTCATAATGAAAGACTCCATTCTCCTACTTATCCAATAAGGGTAGGCTAGGTACATTCTGAGTTCATTTTTGGTTACTTGTGATCATGCAAAGAATAATCTCAAATGTGTCCTCTTACTGCAGTGACACAGCCAATGTTTCCTAAGCCTCCTAAGTGTAAAGACATTTAGGAATAACATTCTTTAATCCTTACATATAGTATGTTAAACCAATTATATGTTCTCCTGCCACAATCTGCTTGTTTTTGAAGTGCAAGTTCAAAGTGCTTTGTTAAATTTAGTGTTCTACCTTCTAGTTAGAATATGGCAAACCTAGGAGTATACTTACTCAAGGGAAGTTTCTTTCTATTCAGTAGATTTAATTTGACTTTCTATTTCCATTTGATCTATATAGAGGTTTCTAGCAAATCGTAAATGGACATATTCATAATAAAATCATGTGACTAATAAAAGACACAGTTGCTTCCTATTGTTCTCATATTATCCCATAGAGATTATTTGCTTAACTTCACTGTGTAGGTTAGACACCGGAGGTTCACAGTGCTTAATTAAGTTACTAAGGTTCATAGAAGGGTCCCTGGTTGTGCAGTGGATTAAGTACTGGGTGGCTCAGTCTCACCATCTGCTTTGTTTCAGAAAGGTGGGGAAATCTACTCCTATAAAGATTTACAACTCCTGAAAATCCACAGTTCTACTGTGTCCTGTAGGCTGGCTATGATATGAGCCTGAGACAACTAGATGGCAGTAGGTTTGGGTTTTAAGGTTATGAAATGGCTAAGACTGAACTTCAAGAACCTAGCTTCAATATAGAGCTTTTCTGTTTTCCTATACTTTACAGATGTAAGAAAAAACCAGGACCAGACAATGTTTCATTTTGTTGTACACGGTTCGCTATGAGTCAGAACTGACTAGACCGTACCTAACAACAACCATCATCTGATTCTGACCCAGTGACTATAGGACAGAGTAGGTTTTCTCCTAAAATGTATGAGGCTGTAAATCTTGTAAGGGAGCAGAAAACTTCATTCTCTTGCAGACTGGCTGACGGATTCCCATAGTGTTTTTTCCCAAAATAAACCTACCACATGCAACCTTTAACTTCAACCACTGATTTCCCAGCATGTCTCTCAAAACAGTTCTTAGAATTATGAATGGCACCTCTTCCACCATCTACTTTGGTAATTATATTAGTAACATAGCATGAAATCATCAAAAAATATGTTGAAACTCTGTAACCCTGTTGTGCTATCTTGTATCAGTTGTTTGGTTTTTTAAAAAACTGAGCACCCACAGTGGTGTTTCTCTTGGGGAAATAAACAAGTGGGGTTTTTCCCTCATGTTTAAATTCTCGTATTTCAAAATGACAGTTTCTTTAAAATTTTTGAATGAAGTGAAAATTAAAGTCATAACTGAAAAACTATTTTAAAAGGATCTCTACCCACAGGCAGGAATATCTGGCTATTGCATCTGCTATTTACTCAATTTCCATCTAATATTTTGCCCATATTCCAAGTAAACGTTGTCAAATTTGATATGGTATATATATATAAATTCTGAGATGTGCTTTTGAATAGATAATCACTGTTTTGAATAGAGATACATTATTATAGTATCTAACCTTTGAAGCTAATTTCTCATTTTCTTTGGGAACTATTTTAAAGTTAATATATGTACAGATTTGGTTCAGAAAGAAAAAAGTTTCCAACAAAAGTAAATGCCATTCTCAATAATGCACCCAGGGTGGCACAAATACTTAACACATTTGGCTGCTAACAAAACATTTGAAAGTTTGAGTCTACCCACAGGCACCTGTGAAGAAAGATTTGGCAATCTGTCTGTAAAATCAGTCCCGGGAAACCCTGGAAAGCCTAGTCTGACACATGTGGGCTCATCATGAGTTGGAGCTGATTCAACATCGATTGGTTTTTCTGCTTCTATATTTTAGTTTGTAAACTAGGAAATATGTAGCCCCAAATCTAGTAGTCTAGTGCCTCAGAGATACAGCGTGTTAAGAGGCTGACAACCATGTTTCTTTTACTAAAGAAATGGCATTCTTTTGTTGTTGCGATTCAGGGAAGCTTTGCTGAAAACCTTGTATTTCTTCTGGAAGCTTTAAGAAAAGGTAAATATCAACATATCTAGAATTATCAAAGTATTGCTTTCATCCTATTTTACTCTTCATTGTTAAATATTGTATGTTCTTGAGTGTAAGCTGAATTTTTCAGCACATTTTTAATGCAGTTTTTGTGGTACCATTAGCTGGCTCAGCTGATATTTGGATCAGCTTATACTTGAGTATATACGGTGTATGTTCTTTATTGTAAAATATATGCTTTATTTTCTTTATTGTAAAACATATGCTTTTACAAAAAAAAAGTATACAGAAAAAAAACCTATAATCTCAATACTGTAATGTTGTTTCTCATCTTTAATTACCTGCAGCATATCATTGATTATATATATATATCATTGATTTTATATATATATACTGCTTATGATCCACTTAGGTGAGAAAAGGGGTATGACAGCTCCTGCTTCTGAAGCACCATTCAGAATCTGAGTGGCAGCCTTAGAAAGCTCATGTATAGGAATTCTTACACTTATTTTTCTCTTTTAAAATTTGGTTTTAACTTTTCTGCTGAGTAAACATTAATAATTTTTAAGTGGTCACCTTTATCTGGAAAGTTTTTCTCCCCTTCAAATTATAAAACATTTACTTATGTTTTCCTATATTTAATTTTTCTAGGTTACTTTGAACTTATTTGTTATAAAGCATAAATGAGGATCCATCTTGAAATAAATCCTCCCCGTACTTGGAATTATAAGCTATTTTGTAAAAAAAGACAAAACTTTTTTTTCTTATGTCTGAAATGAGCTTGCATGTCACTGAAGACTCCCAAGCCCGTTTCAGTTTTACTTTACCTTCTTTTTTAGCCACTCGGCCCAATGTTTAAATCCTAGTGGTAAGACATCTAGACGCTTCAATTTCATTTAATTTCTAAAATTTTAACTTTGTTCCTTCATGTAATGTTGGTTTTTAAAGAATAACATTCTGTATAGTTACACAGCCCATCTTCTCAAATCAGTAATGGTACCCTGTTAACCTAGCCCCGCTATAATGTGGTTCTTCTCCCTTCCCCCATCTTTCCTTCCTCAAAATTTCTTGCCCTTTCTCTCACCCTGTCCGTCTCCCTCTCCTTGCCCTTGCCCTCCTAGTAGTCTTCAAATGCATGTCTCTTGGTGTGAAAATCACTTTTCTTTTTTTTCCCTTTATAATGATCACATTAAATGTTTGTCTCTATAAAATTGACTAATTTAAATTAGTATAATATTCTCTGGTTTTGCCCATGTTTTAGGGTGTTTCAGAGAGTCGTGATTGCTTTTTATTGATGCATAATATTCCATTGTTTATCCATTCCTCTATAATTGAAGTTTTTGGTTGTTTCCATCTTTTTTGCTATTACGGAAATTGGTGTAGTAAACTTAGATTTACATTTATCTGTTCATGTTGTGTTCTTTAATTCTTTAGAGTATACACCCACTAGAGAGATTGCAGGCTCATAAAGTATTATATTTCATCTGTAAAGAAGCACCATACTGATTTCTAAAGCATTTGCAATGCTACGGTCCCCCAGCAATGTATGAGCATGCATGCCAATCTCTCCACTTGCTCTTCAGCATTTATTTTGTTTTGTTTTCTCTTTTTAATGTGCTGAGAATATCAGTGTGAGGTGGTATCTCATTGTTTTAATTTGTATTTCTCATATTGCTAATGTGGTTGTTGGCAACCTGGATGTCTTCTTTACTAAATTGACTATTCATGTCTTGTGCCAGTTTTTGTTTGGGTTATTTGTATTTTTCATTTTGAGATGTGATTTTCTATAGATTATGAAATTAATCCATTAACAATTAATCCTTATCAAAATATTTTCCCATTTGTGTGTTATCTTCCTTTGTAAAAATTAATGTCTGTGTTATAGGAGTCTATTTCTAGACTTTTGAACAGCCCTTGATTTTGTGTCAGTATTAAACGACTTATATAATTGTATATGTTTTATTTTCTGGTGAAAGTAAGTCTTCCTTTTACAGATTTGTTGTTTCTTTTTTGTGCAGAAGTAAAGTCTTGAACCGAAAGTAGCATTGCTATTTATACTAAGCTACTTTCTTAGACACATTGAACTGCTAAGCACAAGATCAGCAATTCAAACCCTCTAGCAGCACCACTGGAGAAAGATTAGGCATACTTCTCCTGTGATGATTTATAAGTGTGTCAGAATTATAAGTGCAGGAGCCTTTTTTTTTTATTTTAATCATCTTATGGGGGGCTCATACAGCACTTTATCACAATTCATCCATCCATCCATTGTATCAAGCACATTTGTACATATGTTTTCCGTCATCATTTTCAAAACATTTTCTTTCTACTTGAGTCTTTGGTATCAGCTCATTTCCCCCCTCCCTACCCTCATGAATCCTTGATAATTTATAAATTAATAATTCTTTTTGCCTTACATCAACCACTGTCTCCCTTCACCCACTTTTCTGATTTCCAACCCCTTGGGAGGAGGGGGTTATATGTAGATCGCTGTGATTGGTTCCCCCTTCCCACATTCCACTTACTCACCTGGCATCACTACTCCCATTATTGGTTCTAAGGGGTTTAATCTGTCCTGGATTCCCTATGTTTCAGTAATTCTTCTTGGCTACATTGCCCTTGAACAAGCCCCACCAGGTATCCTACCACCCTCCTTACTATTGATTTTATATCACTGGTTGTTCCCTTTTCCCCGGGTTTGTTGACACCCGACTTCCTTTCCCCCACCTCTAGTTCTAGATCTGTTTGTTGACGTTTAGGAGTGCTTTCCAGTAGAGTTTGATGGGGTGCCACACCCTGGCCCCAAAGTATAATTTTGGTATTCCTCGGGGATTTCATTGCTTTGCTCCCCTTGCTGCTCTGTTGCATGCCCTTAGTGTTTCGCCCCAGTGTGGTGGGGTCAGATCAGGCACAGTTCCCACACTGTGTCTCCAGTGTTGTCCCCTGTAGCGCTATGGTTCAGATTCAGGACATCATGTCCCGTAGTGGGAACAGCCCTATGGTTCTCTCTGTGCATTGGCTGCTCTGAGCAGGAATATCGTCTTCGGAGCTTGATGTGCTCCACTCTCTCGCCTTCCCTCTATTTTGTGCTCCTGTGTGCTCTGATCAGATGCTCCCCTCTCCCTGAGCTGTACCTTCAGTGCTGGCAGGAGCATTTCTACTATGGCGTCTCAGGTCACTAACAGTCAGAATTGACTATAGCAGTGAGTAAGTGAGAGTTAGAAAAGTCTCATGTTGAAATTTCCCTTACTGTTAAAATGCTAAACGTGGTTAGAAGGAGCTAAAGTTTCTGTGGTTGAACTTCAACTTCATCTGACCAAAGATTATAACAATTATTTCTATAGGAAGGTATTGTCTTCTTTTCTACTAACACGTCTGTTTGGAATAAATAGTTTTGGTCTTAAATTACTGGTGATTTTCTTTGAATTTAATCCTGCTTAGGTATTGAAAAGTCTTTGTCAGTTTTCTAATGAAAAAAATTAGGTTCACATAATTGAAAAGCAATAGCCCAAGTCATTTATATATATTCTTAATGTCTTAGTCAAACTATTAAAAGTCTACTAACTGGACTACAAATGCTTGAGGACAATAGGGGTAAACTGGGTCGAGATTTAAGAAAGAGTCACATAATTGCTTGTTAATGTAGAACTCTCTTTTTTATCCTAGGTAACCGGACTAGCAGTTGCCCAGTGGTCTTCATTTTAGATGAATTTGATCTTTTTGCCCATCATAAAAACCAAACTCTCCTCTACAATCTTTTTGATATTTCTCAGTCTGCACAGACTCCACTTGCAGTTATTGGTCTTACATGTAGATTGGTAAGTCTTTGTATTTTTAAATATTGATTTTTTTAAAAATTGATTATAATAGAGCATTCCAGAGTAATTATTTACAGTCTCCAGTTTTTTTGTTTTTTTGTTTTTTTTCTTTTTTAACATTTTATTAGGGGCTCATACAACTGTTATCCCAATCCATACACACGTCAATTGTGTAAAGCGCATTTGTACATCGTTTCTCAAAACATTTTCTCTCCATTTAAACCCCCGACATTAGGTCCTCATTTTTCCCCTCCCTACAGGTTATTCTGTTAGTTGCCTTTTCAGTTGTCTTTCGCCAGTGCCTGGTGTATTTATTCCACTTTTCAACTTCATTTGAGAAAAATAAGAAAATTATAACATAATTTAAAAAACAGTAACCCCAAGTGATTCATAATCTTGATGTTTTAATCAGACTATTAAAGTCTACTAACTGGATTACAAGTGCTTGAGGACAATAGGACTATTTTAGTCCTGTGGATTTTTTGTTCTTGTTAAGCACAATTATCAGTAAGTGCTCTAGCTCAAATTAGCTTATAAAGTAATGTCTCCCCTTTTCCTATAGAATCATAGATGTTAAAATACACTAACCAAGTAAATAGGACCATTAAATAATTTCACCACTGATTTGTAAGAACTGCTAATAATGTTTTTGTTGGCTTGCCTTTTTTTACATTGAAGATATTTCCCATATTTTGAAAATACTTAGAAGCAATGAAAAACATTACTATCTTGGTAAATCGGCATCTCCAGAAATAGGTTATGTGTACCAGGCTCTCACACTAGATTGTGGCTTCTGCGGTGCTGGAGGAACTTAAGAGTGCCTTTCACTTCGGTTCAGTTGCCACTGCCACATGACTTTATGAAAGCTGTACATGCTGAATCTGTACCTTCAGGCAGCGAGTCAGGCTTTTGTGTTTTGCCTGATTTGATTATGAGAGCCTGAGCTTTGCTACTGAAATTTAGGTGAAATGAGTAGTACGCATCTCCTTTCTTCCCACATGCATCTGCCCACCTTGCCTTCCAAGGCTTCATCCGTTGTTCCTCCGCCCCACCTTGATTGCTGAAAAGGTTATGTCCGGACTTTTCCTGTCTAGATAGTACTGTGTCATCTTTCAGATGTCCTGCCCACACTGTTGTTTCTCTACTGAGGCGTTCTCTGTAGCCCCGTCCCCACTTCACTCTTCTGCTCTCACCCCAGATTTTCTTTAAATGCGTCATGTGTGTTACAGAATAAGAATCACTAGTTATAGGTGAGAAGTAAATACTTCTGTGGTTTATAACATGCATCTTACAGGAGGTTCTGTTTATGTTTTTAAGGATATTTTGGAGCTCCTAGAAAAAAGAGTGAAGTCACGATTTTCACACCGGCAGATACACTTAATGAATTCTTTTGGTTTTCCACAATATCTTAAAATATTTAAAGAACAACTATCTCTACCTGTAGAATTTCCAGACAAGCTTTTTGCTGAGAAATGGAATGAGAGTGTTCAGGTAATTTGAACAAAGGAAATAATGTTAAAGTAATTTATGTGTCTTGCTCTATCATTTGAAAGCAATTAAAATTTACAGAAATCTTCTAATGTTACTGTGGCATAAAAGCTATAATACAAATTGTGTGTGTGTGTGTGTGTTTTAAAAGACAGCTGGAATATTACTTCTCTTAAATTACCCTCAGAACTTTATAGTTAAGCTTTGAGATTTAAGTATGTATGGGACTCTAGGAAACATGGACGAAAGTTTCCCTCCCCCCCCCACCCACCCAAATTCTCATATTGTGAAAGGAAGCCCAGGTGTAGTGTTTCTTCTTTCCTGCGGCTAACAGTATCCCCTCTCTTCCCTAAAACACTGATCCATCTGAAAATTACTTGATGTGGGAACATTTCTTAGGAAATTGCTGAAAAGCTTCAGTAATTTGGGAAGTTGAGTTTTGTTAAATTTTTGATATTAGCCCTCATAAATCATTTTCTCACAAAAGCATACTTTTTTTAGGCACTATAAAGAAGACAGACATGTTGAAACTGATTTTGTCAGGAATAAACCCACACATGTATGAACTAAAACTACAGAGCACTACCTTTTGACTTAACCTTTGTGTTTGTGTTTATCCTCTCCTTTTACTACAAAAGTGACTATTTGGGATATAGGTTTCATACATTGTATGCATGTTGAGTTCGTTCTTTTTAGATACAGATCAAACGTTACATACATACTATCCTTCGAGTTGTCACTTTGTTTTCATTGTTAATTCATTATTGTTCCTCTACTTTTAACTTGACATCATTGTAGAAATGCCTGGCTTAGGGGTTCTCCCTTAATCTTGATTCAGAGATTTCGCATAGCTAAAGCAACTTTTTGTTTGTACTGTAATAGTAAGGTTGCAATCTGCAGAAATACTTCATTTCTACTTGGCGTTCCCTTGGCGTTGTTCTCGTCTAGATGTGCAATAGGAACCCCGTGTTCCACCTGTGTCCGTTTTTCAGTGCCTTGTAGATTTTCACCTTCAGCTCCTGTCTTCAGAACCCGAGTGTGGTATTTGTCTGTTGTATAGATTGAAGCAATCTTTTATAGTATTTAAAATTCGCTCTTTCCATAGGCTTTTATTATTTCCACCTCTGTTCTAGCTATCCCTAAGATGACTATGTTGCTCAGGTTTCACTGTCTTTAACCATCTTTCATTCCTTCTTCAGTTATGTTGCATTTGTAATGTGAAAAAATTAGATGAAAGGAGTTACTGGTGACAAATAACTTTGGCTTACTCAAAAAATGATAACCATGTGGGAGAGTGGTGGTTAAGCCTTAGCATTGTGGTCCTTTTCTTGTTGGAAACCCTATATTCTAGATTTAGACTCCCTGGTGGCAGAGTGGTTACACGTGTGGCTGCTAACGCAAGGCTGCTAACGCAGTTCAAAACCATCAGCCATTCAGTGGGAGAAAAACGGGCCTTCCTACTCCTGTAAAGAGTTACAGTCTCGGAAATTGACAGGGTTAGTTGTGCCCTGTCCTGTGGAGTTGCTGTGAATCAGCATTTGACGGCAGTGAGTTTGGTTTGGGGTTTCTATCCTAGATTGAGGGGTTAATTGGTAAGAATGAAAATGAGTACTATCCTTAATCTTTTTTGGATATCTTACAGTTCTGTTTCATAAGAAGGAGCTAGCAGCACTAGAGCTTGTCTTGAGTAGTTCTGTTATTTTCTTTTTCCCATTCAGTTTGTGCTCAGATTGGCAATGTAAGACAAATCTCTATAATGAGAATTATACACCCCAAAGAAACTCCCTAACCCCCCAAAGCTATTCAGATTCAGAAATTTGCCAAAAGGAGATGGGGACACTAGATGTATAAATCCACACCAGGATTAACAGAGCTTCCTGAGCCAAAGGAATCCGGACATCCCATTCCATGTCCTTGACTGGTTGTCCAGAAAATGTAATGAGGATGAAGATTCACCAAAACAAGCTCTCTACGCTGGGTATGCACGTGCCTGTCACCATTATTTAAAAAAACAAACAAAACCATAGTCCATGTGGATGAGCGCTATTCATTTATTACCTAATAAAGTTATAAAACTGCCCCTATGCCATTTTTTTAATGAGAAAAGTTAGCTAGTTTTCTGGTATTTTAGTTTTTCAAATGGCTCCCTTACATATATTTCAGAGGGTTTTTATTGTTTGTTTTTGAACAGATTAATAATGATAGAAACAAGCAGGTGTGATAGCTTTCAGAATAAAAGGGGAGTTGGAGTGAGAGCACTGAAAAGGTAGAGGTAAGCAGGAAGGCAGAATACAGGAAGATGGACCCTTGGAAGAATCATTTAAATATTGTTTTTCAAAAATAAGAGTTTTAAAAATTTCACTACATTTTTTTCACAAATAATCTGATTTACTCCATCTACAAAGAGGTTTCAAAAATGTTTGTGAAAAATAGAATTGTAAGATAAAAAGTAGGGACATATAATAGAAAAGTGGGTTAAGGGAGACGTCGGACAGTGTAAGATATGACAAAATAATAATTTATAGGGTTCATGACGGAGGGGGGAATGGGGATGGAGGGGGAAAAATGAGCTGATGCCAGGGGCTTATGTGGAGAGCAAATGTTTTGAAATTGATGAAGGTAATGAATGTACAAATGTGCTTTATACAATTGATGTATGTATGGGTTATGATAAGAGTTGTATGAGCCCCCAATAAAATGATTTTTAAAAATAAATAATCTATAAATTAAAAAAAAAAAGATTAAAAAAAGAAAAACTTTATTTCTCTATATAAGCACCATAAAGTTCTAGACACTTCTATAAGCCAAAATACCAGTAATTAAGCCCATTCTTAGAGAACTGAGTGTCATGGGAGTTTAAATTTATCAACCCATCCATCAGTTGGTCACACTGTGGTGGCTTGTGTTGCTTGGCTGCTGAAGTCTACGTCTCTGTATGTCAAATGCCAGCAGGATCACCCAACATGAACGGGTTTCAGCAGAGCTGCCAGACTAAGAACAGACTGCGAAAGATGAGGCTGTCCCCTTCAGAGGATAGACTGGGAACATCATCAACTACCGAAACTCTGATGGAGAAAAGTAGAGCAGTGTCAAGAGTTAACTCTAGAAAATGAGCCCTCAGATCAGAAGGCACGCACAATATGACTGAGGGAGAGCTGCCTTCTAAAAGTAGAGTCAACCATGATGCAGATGGAGTAAAGCCTTTGGGACCTTCATTTGCTGATGGGGCACAACACAAAATGAGAAGAAGCAGCTGCAAACATCAATTAATAATTGGAACTTGGAATGTACGAAGTAAAAGCTAAGAAAATTGGAAGTCGTTAAAAATGAAATGGAACACATACTACTCTTAGCTTCCACTGGTCTTGGCATAACACTTTTGGTATCCCGTGAGCACAGTTTGCTCAATTTTAATTTTTCAGTCAGAATTCTTGAGGCTGAACCAGTGGAGTTATCTAGTGTTGGCTTTTGTTTCTGCTCTTCACCACAGGTCCTCTCAATTAGAGATTGATTTTTTTTTCCCTTACAAATTGATATGGATGGTCTGCCACTGCAGGTTTCACCTTCAGTATCAATATACAGAAGTTACAGATTTGTAAACTGCTCATTTCTTTGGTGCATTATCATAAAGCATGAGTGATTTCATCATTCTTATACACAAGTTTCACCATTAACTTGATGGTTGTTTTATTTAATTGCTTCAATGGAGAAGAATTCATGCTTATGAGCTTTCTTCAGACTGATGTCTTACCATTCTGAGTCTCAAACTTAGTCTCAGACATGTTATAACAATGTAATGTGAGTTTATTTTGGTGTAAAGACATTTTTTTAATCTGTGTAAATATTTTCATAATATGCACTTTTATGCACATTTTTAGTACACCTCACATAATAAGAGCCAAAGATACAGGAGCCAGGACTCCAGTTTTTCTGTGGTATTTGGCCACATATATTTTTAATTTATTATCTTGAAAATTGGAAGAGTTAGTATTTTTTAATTTTCTTAAGATTTTGATTTTTTTTTTAATTACTTTATTGGGGGCACTTACAGCTCTTAAAACAATCCGTACATCCATGTGTCAAGCACATTTGTACATATGTTACCATCACCCTTTTCAAAACATTTTTTACTTGAACTCTTGCTATCAGTTCATTTTTTCCCTCCCTTCTCCACCCTCTTAAACCCTTGATAAATTATAAATTATTATGACTTTAACATCTTACACCATCTGTTGTTTCCTTTCACCCATGTTTCTGTTGTTCACCACCCTGGGGACTGAAGGGGGTTTGTTATACATTGATCATTGTGATCAGTTCCCCCTTTCTCCCCCTAATTTCCCCCCTACCCTCATGGTATCGCTACTCCCATTATTGTTACTGAGGGGTTTATCTGCCCTGGATTCCGTGTGTCGAGAGCTCTTACCGGTACCAGTGCACATGCTCTGGTCTAGCCGCATTTGTAAGGTAGAACTGGGGTCACGATAGTGGCGGGGAGGAGGAGCCATTAAAGAACTAGAGGGTTATTATACATTTCATCGGTACTATATTGCACCCTGGCTGGCTTGACCCTTCCTTGTGACCTTTCTGTGAGGGGATGTCCAGTTGTCTACAGATGGGCTTTGGGACTCCTCCCCCCTTGCTCGCATAATATAATTGTTTGTTTGGGTCTTCTGATTCCTGATCATGTCAACACTTCATGATTACACAGGCTGGTGTGCTTCTTCCATGTGGGATTTGTTTATCTTCAAGCCTTTAAGACCCCAGACCCTATATCTTTTAATAGCTGGGCACCATCAGCTTTCTTCACATTTGCTTATGCACCCATTTTGTCTTCAGCGATCGTGTCAGGAAGGTGAGCATCACAGAATGCCAGGTTATTAGAACAAAGTAATTTGGCTTTCAGAATTCCTCTCGGCTTCATGGCACTTGATCAAACCCCAGCAGTGATGTACTACTCCTCACCATCTATTGTAGATCACTTGTTCTCTTAACCCTGGATTTGTCGTCTCTCCCATACCTTTCCCGCACCTCCCCTATCCCAGTTCCCCTGGAACCGTCTGTCCATTGTTTTCTCCTCAGGATTGTTTATCTGGCCTATCTTATAAGTAGACATAAAAAGGAAAAAAAAAAAGCCTATGAATAGTTCCAGATCTGTCTGTTGACCTTTGTAAATGTTTTCCGATCAAGGCTGTTGATTTGCCTAGCTCTGCCCCCAAAGTCAGGATTCCTTAGGGACTTCACTGCTTTGCTCCCCTTGTTCTGCTGCACTCCCTCCCGATGTGTGTGTTTGGGGGAGAGGGGGGCGCAGGGTGTCAGACTAGGTACAATTCCCGCACTGTTTTTCCAGTGTTGTCCCCCGCAATGCTGAGTCAGTGAGGGTACGCTCTGTCTCATGGTGGGGCTGGCTCTATGGTCCTCTGTGTTCATGGGCTGCCCCCAGCAGGAATACCATCCTTAGGGCTTGGTGGGCCAGAATGCGGTTCTCTCTCTCTAAATCTCTTTCCCTCTTAGTTTTCTCCCATGGGCTCTGAGCAGACCTGGCCCCCTCCCTGAGCTGTTTCTTCAGTGCTGTCCTCTGTGTAGTGCATTCTTATGGGGATGGGTCCATGAGCTGGGATTGGGGCCAGCACACACCAGGTTGAGGTCTGGTCCCTCTCTCCCTTTCCTGTGGAGACATAAACAGTACCCTCCCATGGGTGGGTTAGTGCCCTGTTCCTGCCCCTACCCATGTCCTTTTTTCCCCTTCCCTCTCCTTTTCAGTTGGCTGCCATATGTATGCCTTGGTTGGGTCTGACCCCTGCCAGAGTGTCTGGACCTCGCCCCAGGAATTTATGCATGTAGTAGCTTTTCCCCTATGCCCCATGTGCTTTTAAGCTTACTTATTTCCTGCATTTTATGTTCTTTCTAATTCATAGGATATTTCTGTTTATGATAAAAACACGTTTGGTGACAGCAAACCCTTTAAAATATCGATAATTAAAGACAATAGCTAGGGAGTCAGAGTCCTCGCTAAGATAATGTATTCAATAAGAACCTAAAACTTCATCCCAATTTTCAATCTGCATCTTTCTCTATGGGAAAAGTAAGAGTTCTAGCTCTAGGAAAGAAAAACTACCCGGTTTAGTGTTCTTAAACCATTGCCCTACCCTTCCTAGCAAAGAAATCGTTCTTACTCCTTACAGATGATTTTTTAAAATTAGATCCATCTTCTATTTCCTAAAAAATGCTTTGGCTCTTCTGGCTCTTAGTTCATTCTTATTTTATCTAATCCTCTATGCCAACTGACCCTCGCTTGTCATTCAGTCCTCATTCATCGCAGTTACTTGACTCTCTCAGATACTGCTCTCTCAGAGTACTCTGTTGAATCTCCTAGTTTCCAAAGTCTTAGCCTCTCATAGAAATAGATCTCATTTTAATTTTACAAAGTAGTTAACACTGTTGAGCGCTACTACTTGAACATTTCTTCTCTTGATTTCTAGACTTTCAGTATGTTTCTCCTAGTTCCTTGCTTTCCTGTTTTTCAATCTGCTTAACTATTGATATCCCAGCATTGACTTGCTATTCAGTTCTCACACCTCATATTTAAGGGATTTTCCATCCCTCCTGAGGTCATCTTGTCATGCCCCCCTCCTTTTGCTCATCTCACATACTTCATTCTCCTCTCCCTTCCACCAGGTGATTCTTTATCTGACCAAGCTTCTGTGAATGTCTTCTGTGCACCACTCTTACTAATTTGGACCCATTTTTTCTCCTGTATAAATGATTGCAGCTGTATCTAGTTAGGTGTTTTGCCTATAACTCTCCATTCAGTCCTTTTCCCGGAATTGAAACTCAAGGGTACATGACTACTCTTCTTTAATGTGCTTGTCTTCTTACATTGCTTATGCTGTGTGCTACGACAAATGCTCTTCCCTACTCTAATAAGATTTCATCACTTTTGCCCAGACATTGTCCAAATAGTACCTTGGTACCCAGGTATGTCATACCTTTCCTTCTCTGTTGCATGTTGTGCTGCATTTTGCTTATTCCATTAGTATGAGAGTAGTTTCCCTTTTTGGAATAAAAATTATGGCAAACAGGTATGTGGGCTATCTTTGTGTTTAAAATAATGTAAATGGATAAAAATAAAGATTGGAAGTAGGATTGTGGCTTTAGTAGTCAGCAAGTAGAACAACTACTATGTATTATTTTAAATATGTATAGTGTAACTGAAGAACATAAACCAGTGAGGCACGGGATTATATATAGATTTTAACTGCATTGTCCCTTAACTGTATTTGGATTCCCCCACCCCCTTTAGTGTCTCTCAGAAGATAGAAGTATACGAGAAGTACTACAGAAACATTTCAATGTCAACAAAAATCTACGGTCATTACATATGCTGTTGGTGTGTATTACTTTTAATTTTGTCGCTCATTCTTTGACTGGCTAATTATATTTTGATGGGAATTGAACTAAACTTATAAATTTGCAGAGAAAGACCATCTTTATTGCAGTTAGTCTTCTAATCAAGGAACATAGTATGTCTCCTTTTTTATTTAAATCATCTGATTTTTTTAAATCAGTACTTTATAATTATTACCACATAGATCCTATCCATGCACGCTTTAACCTTATGTGTCTTTAACTTCCTTTGAGGCAATTTTAAGTCATATTTTGCTTTTAATTTCCTTTTCGCATCTGTACTGTTAGTAGGTAGAAATATGATTGTTTTACAGGTATGTGTTTAAATTGTATTTTACAACCTTGCTGAACTCACTTATTAGAGCTAGGAGCTTTTAAGAGAAACACTTTGTATATTGTTTATACAATCTCATCTGCAAATAGAGAAGGATTTGTTTCTTCCCAAGAAAATACCTTTTTATTACCTTATTGCAATGGCTACAACTTCCAGCACTGTGTTGAAAAGCAGCAGCAAACATCATTGCCGGATTCCTGATGGTAGGGGGGAAGCATTCTTTTTTTTTTTAGTCTGCTAAATATATTAGTTCTAGGTTTTTTGTGTATACTCATTGTAAGTTAAGGTAGTTCTATTCCTGTCTTAGTGAAAGTGTGCCATGAATGGGTGCTCAGTTTTATCAAATATGCATTTTGTGTCATTGATAATGATCAGATGATGTTTCCTTGAGTTGTTATTGTGGATTACACTGGTCTTCACATGTTGAATGAGTCTTGCATACCTAGGATAAATGTCACTTGGGTTTTCTCCTATCAGCTCTTGATTTTGAGGTACAGAACACATGCCCTATACTACTCTGCTCCCCTGCAAGAATCAGGATATTTTATGTACTGTTCAAATTAATACCATTTAAACATGAAGGAACTATATTAAGCATTAAAAGAAAAATGTACTACATGAAAATCTACTAATTCCATATGAAAAACACAGATTTCTGATATAAACTCTTCAGCTCTTCAACACAAGATACTCCTTTTGTAAGACTTCCCAGACTGGGATCTGCTAATATTCCAACAACAGTCGGCCATCACGTGGGCATTCCACCGTCTTTCTCGAGCTTCCACGCTATTCTGTCTTGGTGAAATCTTTCACCGTGTTCCGTGCTTACGTCACTGAGGTTCTCTAGAAAGTGAGCTAAATGACTGCAGATGATGGACCTCACACTCATGCTACTCTCATAAGAGCAGACGTGGGTCTGCATTGGGCTGCTCACCAAAAGCTCAGCAGTTTGAAATCACCAGTTGCCCCAAAGGACTTTCTACTCCCCTGAATGAAGAGTTATAGTCTCAGAAACCCACCGGGCAGTTCCACTCTCTTATAGGGTCGCTTTGAGTTGGAGTCAAATTAGGGCACTACGTTTGGTTTGGAGTTTCATGAGAGCAGATGCTTCATATTAATGAGTTTTTTTGCAAAGTAACATCTCAAAATTGCCCAAGTAGAAATCATTGTTTTTCTGGCTTACATTTCCAAAGATGGTTGCTTTAAACCGTGTTACAACGTCACACCCATTTGTAACGACAGCAGATCTGATGGAGGCAAGTCAGCTGTGTAGCATGGACTCTAAAGCAAATATTGTACATGGTAAGAAGCCTGCTGGGTTTTTTTGTTGGTGGTGGTGGTGGATTTTATAAATTGAACTTACATAATGGAATAATTTGATTAATATAGTGCTTTATATGCTGAATTGCTCTCACAGCCCTAACTTAGCCCTTTAAGTAGGTATTATCATCACTATTTAAAGTGAAAAAGTCTTGACATTTCACCTCCCTTACCCAAGGTTGTCGATAGAACTTCCACCCTGTGTTAACTGAAGAGTATTGGCCTTGACCACTTGAGGCTAGCTCTCTTTTGAGAATCGAGTAAGCCTTCTCTCTGGGGAAAACTTATATGATTTTCAGGTGTGAGGTATGCTCTGAGTAAATCCTACCCCGGATGGATCCCTTTGTGATTTATAGTCAGTTTAATTGCTATTTATTATTTACTGTGGAATTTAAGGTGATATTATTATCTCTCATCCTGTAGCATCCTTTATGAATATCCCTCTAGGTATGAAAACTAAGCACGGGTTTAAGTTACTTTCTTGTGTTTGTAGAGTTCATTGTCACTGACACAGATTTCTTAGGGGAAGGAGGGTCATCTTGTCCTTCCTCCCCCTGAATATGACCATCTTTAACCAGATTGTAGTATTTTACAGATTTCAGTGCTCTGTGACACTAAGTAAACTATAACTTGGTTTGTTGCTTTCTCTTTTATGCTAGGTTTGTCAGTCTTGGAAATTTGTCTTATAATAGCAATGAAACATTTAAATGATATCTACGAAGAGGAGCCCTTTAATTTTCAAATGGTCTACAATGGTGAGATGAGACTTCAGTCGTACTGTTCTAATGCTCTTCCTTCCCCCTGCTGTTCGAAGATGGTGCTAATATTTTCATTGCTTTCTATCCAGAGTTTCAGAAGTTTGTTCAAAGGAAGGCTCATTCCATTTATAATTTTGAGAAACCAGTTGTCATGAAGGTAAGATTGGGTTTGTTCTTTTGTTTCTTTTGCTAATTCTTAAATTTCAGTTATGTATCATGATTTATTCCCTCCCCAAAACAAATCTCAAAATGTTTGAGGAACCAGTTTGTGGAAGTATGCTGCCCTCTGCTGTCTGTTCCTAGTATTTGCATCCTAAAAATGAACTGTTACAGACATAGACGTAACCATTTCATTCTAAAGGTTGACTTTTGTATCTTAGCACTAAGAAGAGAGAGACAAAGCTTCTTACTCTTGTAAAGAGTTACCGTCTCAGGGGAAGTTCTACCCTGTCTCATAGGGTCACTCAGGAGTCAGAATCAACTCAATAGCAGTGAGTTTGATTTTTCTCGAAGAGAAGACCAAAATGCAGATAAGAGCCTTTAGTTAAGAAACTAAAGGACAAAAATCTCATTGGCTAATAGAACATACAGAGTGTGTTCTTTGAGGGTGTTGGAGATGGGGTGAGTCATGAGTTATTAAAACTCTGGTTCACCACTATCCAGTAGAAATATAATGTGAGCCAAAGAATTTAAATATAGTAGCCACCAAACAAGGTTTTTTAAAATTAATTTAGAAATATATATATCTATATTTCACTGTATAATCAGTAATAGAAAAACTTTTAAGGAAGGACAAGGGGGCTTCAAAACACGAAAGGAAAATTGAGGGGATTCTTCCAGTTTCTAGCGCCTCCTTGTATTTTGCATCCCTCCTTTTGTATAAAGTCTAAAATTTGTCATGTGTTATGGTACCAAATACTTACTGAAAACACGTGACCTTATTTTAACTTCTATTTTATTCTAAGCATTAGGTTTTTCCTGAATTCACTATCAGATTTTTAATTAGATTTGAAATGTCCTTCAGTCACATTTCAAGTATTCATTAACCTTTGTAAACAGTGCTTACCTTATTGGACCACATAGTTCTAGAAGATTTTAGAGGAGAAAAACTTTTAACTTTTTCAAGTAGACCCACTGGTATTTGGCAGTAGTTAATAAGCCCTACCTAGTAAGGGGCCCAGGGGACACAGTGGTAAGAACCTCAACTGCTAACAGTAAAATAGTCCCTGGCTGCTCCCAGGGAGAAAGATGTGGCGGTCTGCTTCTGTGAAGCTCTACAGTCTCTGTCAACCCAGCAGGGCAGTTCTACTGTGTGCTACAGGGTCCCTCAGAGTCAGAATTGACTCAACAGGAGGAGGTTTGGGTGTGCAGACACTCAGAGTCAAGGAAGGGGCGTCCTCAGCATCGCCATTTTCTCAAGAGGGACCAAGAGGTATTTTCTCCTCTAATGTCAAGATCATCGCTTGTTGTGCAAGCCAAGGAGTTCAAGAAGAACAAAAATGTTTTGAAACTGATCATGGTAGCAATTGCACAATACTGCTTGATATGATTGAACTATGGAATATTGATATCTGTAAGAGCTCCCAATAGTGATTAAAAATTAAATTTTCTTATTTTTCACATATCAAACTATTTCTGTTTGCATCCAAAGAATTATTACGTAGAGAACATGTTTCAATGTTCGTTTTCCTACAGTGAAGTTGTGTAATAGATTTCGCAATGGGAATATATTTCAGTGTCATTAATATTTTAATGTTTAGTGTATCATGACTTATTGGCACATTTTTTCAAAAATCCTTACATGCGTGGAATAGCAATCCAGGTTAGATTATAAAAGGCATTACATGTTCTGAGGGACAAGAAGCAGCAGAAACAAAAGAGCCATGTTAAATAAGGGGACTCGGCAGGTTGTTACAGCCTCAGCCAAGTTCCTTGAAGAAAATGGAGCCTGTCCCCTCCCTTCCATGCCCAGCCATCCTACTTCCTGCTGAACAAGCCTCTGTGTTTTCTCTAGGGGGTTTCCCTTTGCTGACGATACTGAACTTTATATAAAGTCCTATCCACGTAGGCAAGATGTAAATACTAAATTGAGTAACCCAGGCAATTGATTTTAAAAGTACTAGCCTATCATATTGTTGTTTTTATATCGAAATGGATATCCTTCATTACCTGAAGTACTGGCAGAAAATATGGGTTCCTAAAATGAGAACAATTATGAACAAAGGCTCGATCATGCATGATTTCTTCTAACACTGCAGGGACAGATAGCTGTTTGACTTGATGTGTAAGTTACTTTGTGACATTGATCAGAGTCATTTTGATTTCTATTAAGAGTTTTCATTTCCCAACATTGTTCCACAGCTGACAAAAAACCTTAACTCGTCGCCAAGTTATATTTGTTGTCTTCTATCTATCCAACATGAACTCTCTTCCCTCTTCCAGGCCTTTGAACACTTACAACAGCTAGAATTAGTGAAGCCCATGGAAAGAACTTCAGTGAGTGCACAGCGAGAGTACCAGCTGATGAGACTGCTTCTAGACAGCACTCAAATTATGAATGCTCTACAGAAGTACCCCAACTGTCCTACAGATGTTAGGCAGTGGGCAACGTCCTCACTGAGCTGGTTATGAATCTTCACCAAGGACTTAATGTTGGAGCTCAAAGCATACTTCTCTGAAGAACTAAAAGGCCATTGTTAAAAAGATACGTAACTTTAAGTTTTATGTATTTATAAACATCTATTTTTGTACTATAGGGAGACTTTTACCATGTAGAATCTTTGTGTCTTCCCTTTCAATAGATGTGCTGTTACATGATTTATAATTCTGATTATTTAGATTGTGTTTTAAAAGAATAAACTTAGAAATTGGACCATATGCTTATTTAACCGTTCTGAAGTTTTTATGTGGTACATGTGAAGAATTCACTTCACCCTGCCAGCCAAAGCTATTAAGAATAAATGTGCTAACAATCTTTGGGCTCAGTAGATATTCCTGCCTTTTACACACACACACACACACACACACACACATGCACACTCTCTCTCTCTTCTCTCCTTGTACCTACAGAAATTTGGGAGTCTAACACACAACCAGGTCTTCTGGTGTCAGGAATGATTAGTCTAGCCAAAGGGAAGGTTCAATGTGGAGAGAAATGTACACCTTTGCTTCCCAGTCTTCCCCAGAATGTGTTCTGCTTACAAATCTACGTCAGTTACAGGATTTGAAATGCAGATTCTTGGACCTCCCTCCTTGGGCTGAAAAAAATTTGTTTTATCTTTTTTAATCACTTTAGCAAATTCCTGGGAAACCACAAGAAGTAATGGGAAGTGTTTGGTAGTGTTAGTGTTAGCTAAATAGCTGAAGCTGTTTGTATAAAAAATAAAGCCCTATTGACTGAAATAGGGAAGCTTTGCCTTTACAAATTCAGAGGATCTACAAATACTGTATGTTTAAAATGACATTTAAACAACAAACGTGTCATCAAGACTTTCTCATGTCAACCCTATGTGTTACACAAAACTGCTCCTTTGTTTTTTCCCCAAGAATCTTTACCAAAAACAAACCCAAACTAGGTTAGTCAAGGGCAAATCTTTTGTACTACCCTTAGAGATTTAACAAGCACTCAGTGTTAGTGACTTCATTGATTTTTCATGCTCCCTGTTGGGAGGGGGTGGTGTGGAAAGGCTTACATAGTAACATAAAGCAGAGTCCCTTACCTTGTGCGCTAATACTGTCACACTAGGAAACTCAGCAGTGGCAGGGCCCCAGATCACACAGGTAGGGAATGATTCCCCCCTGGAATTCATGCCAGGTTTGATGGACTCTAGAACCACTAAAAGACAACAGCTCCCTTACTGAGTATATTTTTAAATATGCCCCAAGAAGCAACTTACCTTGCTTATGACATCTGAGACGGAAGATTTCTGTACATCCAAGTCGTTTTACATCATTGCATCCTTTGCTTCTGCATATGTAGCTTTTCCTCCCCTGCAGAAAATGTTGGCCTTCCAAGTCTCAAGATCACTTGTCATTTTTAGCAACATCTTACTTATCCCAGATGTCACTCTTTGTGCTGTCATTGTTCCTTTTTGAAAGAAAATCCTGAACAACTGTAGGGTGGTACTACAGGTCACTATGGGAATCTACTGGATGGCAGCGAGTATGCGTGTGATAAAGACAAACACACTGAATAAAGTTGCAGAATTTAGTCTACGCAGCACCACCTTAGAAAAAAACAACCAGCAATTGAGATTCCAACGGAAATGACCTTAGAGCAACCGTTCTTAACCTGGGGGTCGAACAACCCTCTCACAGGGGTGGCCCAATTCATAGCAGTAGCAAAATTAGTGATGAAGTAGCAATGAAAATAATTTTATGGTTGGGGGTCACTACAACATGAACTGTATTACAGGGCCGCGGCATTAGGAAGGTTAAGAACCACTGCCTTAGATAGAGCTTCGGAAGCTATAATCAATGGAAGATAACAGCCTCGTGATCCCCTTAGCAGCCACTAGTAGGTTTGAACTGCTGGCCTTTTGGTTAACAGTCCAACACTTAGCTACAGTGCCACCAGGGATCCTTTATGTACAGCATTCTCTCATTTAGCCCAAAACAAAAGTCCTAGTGAAAACTTGAGTAATGTGAACTTGCAAGTATGGCCTAAAAATATTTCTTCCAGTCACTAAAAGGAATGTAGGTTGGTAAAACAAAATCCCATGCAAACCTGCCCTAGCTCATTCCATCGCGCGTAGTGGGGCAGTGTTGGCAGTTCCAGTGCCTCGAGTTCCCTCCTCTGTAGGTGGCCCACCAAAAACAGCCTCCAAATGCCACGGCACATGCCTGTGAAAGGCTCTGTGCAATGAGAGCCTGTGAGGCCCCAGTTCACTGCATTATGATGGTGCATTTAATATGGTATTTATGCACTTGCTGGAGAACCAGTGTTTGGCAGAACATGTCGTAGAAAACAATTCAGACTTGCAACAATTCCACACAGATGCCACCATGGTTGCCCTTTAATTTGGTGCGGAGGTCACTGGTTCTTCCAAACCACCAGAACTTATATGCGGCCCAGTTCTGCACCCTTACCCTAGAAAAACAATTAAGTGGTGTAAACAGCTTTTTCACTTGTATTTTCATCAAGAGGATGAAAGGGTAGTCTAGAAACATTAAATAGTTGAATAAAAGTTAGCTTCCCTGGTGCACTAATTACCCTATCTCAAGATAGCAGAATAAGAACCTTAGCCCATTCAGTTGGTAAATTCATTATTTAGGAAAAATATTTCTACCTTTGCTGACAGTGTTTCTTAAGTCACATTTCTCTCGTCATATGAAAAGTCAAGGTAGTGTGAATGTCCGGAACCAATGTCAAGCTAGCCTTTGGCTTCAGGACCAGACCATGGGGGGACGGCACCACTCATACCTATCTTTTCCCCCTATTCTTGAAATCTCTACATGTGAGCCTCACTATATTACAAAGCCACTAGTCCCCACTATAAGAAGAATAGCTAAAGAAAAACTACATGTGCAAAGCATACCGTATTCATTTTTTATTTAACTTGGGGGCGGAATGGGGATAGCATACATTTTATTTGTACAATATTTAACAATCACTTATCCAAGATGGGGTTTTATGGGTCTTTTTTTTTTAAGCTTTTTGTTAAATACTTGCAGAAAAAAAATAGCAAGTACAATTTGACAGTAGTACAACAACCTGTGCCCAAAACACTGACAAGAAATACAGAGTAAAGCTAAAATAACTGCTTACCAATATCTGAGAGGTAACAAAGAGGACATGGGTTGAGACTGCATAAAAACGTACTGCTGGTTCAATATCTGAGGTAAATGATGGTCAATCAAGATGCTACTTGTATCATTTTGCCCATAAATTGTTAAATAATTTATGCACATTATACCAAATGTTCCTAAAAAGCAATTTTTAAAAAAGGTAAAAAAGAGAAACTGGAAAATATCTGTGGAGAAGCTTTTTTTAAACAGTTTAATCCACTAAACTACCATCTGGTCAGGTTTTCCCTACCCACCTGCATTTTACTTAAATGTAGATGTTACTAGGGGTGAAGGCAGGGGAAAAAAATTCTTTCAAAATTTCATGTCATGATTCTATTTTTAAATCCCAGCGTGGTGATTTTTCTCCTGGTTCTATTTTCAAAACGTCACCATGAAAGAATAGTGCAAGTTCACAGGACCAGCACTTTTGAGGCACAGTCTCTGTTCTGGAATCCAAAAGGTACCTGTAATAAACACCCAAACAAGAATCACACAGCACATGCTAAAAGACTTCCTAGCATCTAAAATACATACAAGAGCTGTGTCAGGGCATAGACCTCACATAAAGCCAAACACTGGTTAATCCATCAGTCCTATGGCAGTTGATCATAAAGCAATCCTCAAACGGAGATCTGAGCAAGGTAAAGAGTATAAGTTAGAGCAGCAGTTGTGAATGGGTATCAGAAAGGCAAAATATAAGACTATCAGGAGCACCATACACATGAGGAAAAAGTTAACTGGGGTCTCAGTTTTCCCCAAAACCAAGAAATCACTTTTTTTCCTTATTCTTCCCAACATCCCTAGCTCAAACTTGGTATGAACTTGCCCACTCTGCACTTACTGTAAACCAAACACTGCAATGCCCTGCAAAAGGAAACTGTAACAAGACTAGGTATTATCAAGACAGGTAGTCACTGGAACATTCTTATTTTACTGCTTATAAAAAAGTATTCTATTAACATAGTTCGCAAAAGGATACAAGTTTTAAAATTGGTTAGCTAGAGTTAAGTACAATACCCAGGAATTCTAAAAAGTTTTCCTACCACGAAGAGAAAACATTTTGTATTGTGAATAGTTGGTTTTATAAAATTTACCTCCAGAGCTCACATAAAAGCCAAACATCATCCCCTGTTTTATGTTTTCTTAACTTTAAAAACAGGATTAAAGTTTTACAACAGATAGAAATAAGTCTTCAGGAAATGAACCATTTTCTTTTATACACATTTCTCAATATGTTCCCTTAAATTTGTTTCAAAATGAAAGGAAAACCTAACCAAGCAGTTGAGAGGCCAAGTACTTTTTGAAATAAGAACTCAACCTTGAAAACGAGTTCTTAGGAATACAATGACACTTTGGGTCCTTGTGACCAAGAGCACAAACAGCCCAGTATGGTGCGTGGCACACAGACAACAATGTAATGACCCTTCTCTTTCCCTCCCTGCTGAGAGTCTGTTGACCTATGTCATATTATAAATAATATAATTTATTCTTCCCAGAGAGTAAGTGCATATCATGTAAAATGTAGTGTGTACTGTGTGGTTAAATAACCATCTGAAGATAACATTCACAGTGAGGCTCCTGATTTAAATTTTTTAAATAAAAAATAAAACTAAAAAACAAATACTCATTGCCACCAAGTCAATCCTGGTGTCGTGTAAAAAATTATTTTATAAAATTAATATATGAATTTAGAAATGACCTGACAAGAAAGTACATAGCATAATACTGGCTATTTGTTGGTCAGTAATCTTGAGATTTAAGAAATTAACAATTTACTTTGGCCTGGATAAATTTGACAATGAATCCAATTGTATTCTAATGCAGTAGTTTTGAAAGGCTCTTTGGCACCTATCTACCATCAATTCCATTTTCTTAGCAAGGATAAGGCATGAACGATCCTAAATTAATATCAGTTAGTTGTAAAAGCAATTTGGGGGAGGAGGCCAAGCTATGTTGTCTATATCAACATTGGTTACCTCTACATGTCATTGCATAAGATTAACTGTTGTCCCTGATTTGTCTTAAAGCAGTAACATCTGAAATCCGTGCTTCAATTCAAAGCCCCTCTCCAAGGCTACTTCTGGACACACCACAGATGTCAAATATTACTCTGACAAGATGGCACCAAGCAAAAGTAGAGTGACAGAGTTACAAGTCTCAAAGCAGAGAGTGAGGAATTCTGGGTAATGACACTTCCTGAGGCGATTCTAAAACAGTGATAAAGAATGTCCCACACAAAGTTTGGTGAAAAGAAATACCCTACAATTTTACACACATAAATAGGAAAAAAATCTATTTAAAAAGAATAAAAATTAAGAGCTTTCCAGTGTCACAGCTCATTAAAAAAAAATTTAAACCATGCTTTAAATTTCCAAGTAGTTCCCAAACACGGCACACCTAAAAATATATATATGTCTGTGTGTGTGTCTATATAGATATATATAGACACACACTTAGGTAAGTATGCAATATTTTGGGAACTAGAGATAAGATGAAGCTTTAAGATGTAGGAAGAAGGGAAAATGACACCATTTTTGTTTCGTTTCAAAAAACAGCAATTTTTCCTTAAATCACAAGCCTAGCACAAGAAAAACTAAAACATTGCTTTACGGATAGCCACTTACTGTTGGCACTAAGCATAGCTTACCTTTTTTTTTTTTTCTTAAATAACACAGTGAATTTGTAATACCTTGTTACAAAACATGGATCAATTTATTATTCAAATTTTAGTGTTTTCAATTTTATAATTTAGCAACCGTGGAACTGAGGTATACCTTGTTGAGGGAGGTTAAAGTAATGCTTGGAAGCCTCTTTACTGTACCCCACTTTGATGACTTGGTTTATGTACACGGAACAGCAGCACACTAAACATTCACAAGCTGTGTCATGTTGGCATTACAATAGTCATTTATAGAAACACAACAGCAAATGCAGTAAAAACAAGTTACCCTTTTTAAAATCTGAAATGAAAAGTTTTTGATTTAAAAAAAATAGCAGTTCATTTAAGGAATTAGTGTCTTCGGACAGACATTAAGAAATCTGACGTCAGTTTTCCAATGCTCCATTAGCAAGGTCCAAGTGCTCCTCAGAGATCTGGTGAGGGCCCTCCCTCGCATATGCGCAGAGTTTCTGTAGCGTCTGCAACTGGTCTCTCTCTCATGTCCTTCACGTCTGTGCTGCAGGCAATGAAGTCGGTCTCCCAGAGCCACATTGTTCAATGAGGGTCTTCCGCATTTCCAAGAGACCTCCAATGCATTTCACACAGAACATAAACTAAGCAGTTTTGTTAGCTTAGCAGCTCCAGCTCAGTCTTGGGTCTCAGTGTGTGCCGATGGTACCACCATCATAGACTAGATTCTTTGGGAGGAAAGTCCACATTTGTCACCATTGTGACCACTGTTACAATGTCCTCTGTGGTGATGATGTTTGTGAGTCTCTGCATCTGAGTGATTCTTTCTCCTACACACCCAGCGGATAACCGGGCTTCTGCATCATGATCCCAACATTCTTCTATGGTTTCACAGAGCATTGCCATGCCCTGAAAGGAGGAATACAGGGTCAGAGCAAGTGGTTTTTCTATCAGAAAACTAAATAGAAGTGCCCTGAAGAAACAGCTATTTGTGTGAGTCAACAAAAGTTTCAAAACAGGCCATTGTTAACTTGGAACTTGTCACAGTTATTTTTATTGACCATCTGCTATGTGCAGGGTCATGAAGAACACTCAAGGGGGAAACATGGGACTTGGTGTCAACACTGAAAACTATCTCAGCAGGAATATGTGCTTTTTTATTCCAAAAATCTCTCTGCTGTTCACAAACTAAGTCATTTCAAATCTACCCGCCTTTATTATTCTCCTAGTGTGTATCAGCTTTTCTAGTTTGCATTTCAATAGAAAAGGAGAGAGAGCCATCCTCTGGGATGCACTGCCTGGTTTAAGGAAGCTTCAAGTTCTATCTAGATCAACTGACGAGCGCAATACTGACCACTCTCGGCCTCATTTAAAACTTTAAAGCATTCTTCAAACCTTAAAATTCTTCCAATCCCAAATCCAAACACTCAAAACCTATGGGAAAGAGAATACTGGCTGCTTAACCTACGTGGAGGCAGCTCACACAATGGCAGGTTACCCAACTAACTGCAGACTCTGGGTCAGTATTCCTTCTTCTGAGAAGGTGTCCAAATATGACCACACCAACCTGCACAGGAACATAGAAGCAGGCTACAGCTCTAAGACTTCACCCACTCTTTTGTGGGTGTGCAAACTACACCCATTCTTTCTAGAACATCCTGTATCAGGACCACCTCCCCAGAAACTCTGCCCAGGAGAGAAATATGCAGAGAGAAATCATTCCTCTGAAGAGTGATCTATTGAAATTTAAATGAAAAGCTAACTGTATAACTTACAGCATGTTTCTGCCAATAATCTCTTAAAGCAGGCCTCTTTTTTTTGTGCACAACAACTTCCTGCATGTCTTCAAGGGATGGATGCTGGCCAATTTCCTCCTCAAATGGCAACATATACTCATCTACAGGCCCTGAAATATAAGAGGAGGAGGAGGGAAAGATTACTTTAATTCAAATCGCTCTGATTTTCCAAGCTAGTAAAACTCTAAGATATACACTGTCATCACCGTTCTCCTAGTTGTTACCTGTTACAATGACAGAGAGAATGAACTCCCCACTTTCACAGTGCTTCACTAACTCACACCTCCTTTAGCAAACAAGGTTGGTGATTTGGCATGTAACCGCTTTAACAATTGTGTAAGAAGCTTTCTTACCTACATCGTTTCTTATCACTAATGCTTATCTCCACCTGCATTTGATTCCATACATCCCCTTTGAAATGCCCATTCCTTCTTGCAATTTATATCAAAATGTTAACTGCAAGTTTTTCTTCCCTGAAGACTTTGGGTCCAATCTCTTATAACCATCTTTATTTCATAGTACACCCACACCACAGGAGTTTGTTTAATCCCTTAGTCATACCTCCTCTCTGTCCTCACAAGACCTGCCAAAAATCTACCTTTTATTATTTTTTTAAATAACAACATTATATGTGCAATCAAGTTTCCTGACAAGTCAGAATATGCCTTCACCAACAAGACTTATTCAATACCCTCATTCTTTTGGTCTGAGGTCTCCTCAGATATATAAAAAAAAAAGTATACTTAGAGCTAAATGCATGTTTATTCTGAGCAGGATTCATGTTCATTTCCATTTCATGTTCACAGCTATAAAAGCAACATTACCATTATTTTTAAAAGCAGCAGCTCAGGGAGGTTACACAAGATGCACAAGGGCATAGCATTAAAAAGTGGTAGAACTGGAATCTGAACCCAGTTCTCAGAACGACTTAAAAGCCCATCTCTGCTTTCTATCACTTTACTGTCTCCCTTTGACAGAAATAAACCCCCAATGAGGAACTTCAATGACCACATGTATGGGTCTATAGATAAACCTTGTTCAAGCTTCTGATCAGGGTTTGTCAAACCTCCTGGACAGAATGTAAGTTGTAAACAATGAATTATGCAGAGGCCTAATCCAACTCTCTCCAGATGTTAAGAATACATGAAGGCTACTCAGGCTGTATTGACAGGTTCCACTCAATCCCTGCCATTCGGAATGGCCCATAGTCCAGCTGTTCGGGCATCATCTGGAAGCTTGTAAGAAATGCAGAATCTCAGACCCTACCCATAGTAAACCACAATGTACCTCCATTTCCAACTCAGAATGACGTGGCTTCAAACATACATCAGACTTTGAAATCTCATCTATCATGGCATATACAAGGTATTTAAGAAATGTCAACATGCACCAATCCCTTTTCCTTTTCCATATAAAGTTCCCTGTTCTTCTCATTTCCCCACAACCAAAAGTAATGCCCCACTTCCTAAACTCCTATACCAGTGCTTTATATTTCTCAGGTACTAAACATTTTTTGAATACCAAAGAAGAATCCACCAGTTTGAATTGTGCTGGCGAAGAATACTGAAATTACCATAGACAGCTAAAAAAGTACAGCCAGAATGCTCCTTAGATCCAAGGATGGTGAGACTTAGTCTTCCATACTTTAGACATGTTGTCAAGAAAGACCAATCCCTGGAGGAGGTCAGGCTTGGTAATGCAGAGGGCATTGAAAAACAGGACGGTCCTTAAGGAGATAGGCTGACACCATGGCTGCAGCAATGGCTCAGGAATAAGATGAATGGTGAGAATGGCACAGGACTGGGTGGTGTTTTGTTCTGTGTGCACAGGGTCACTATGGGTCAGAATAGACTTCAGGGCACCTCACAAGTCTGTACTAGACCTTGAGCTAGACCATTAACTCTAAGAGAGCTTAAAGTTCATTTCCCAGGATATATTCAGTCAACTAAATTGTAAATTACCCAAGGATAAAGTTGTATGCATACCCCCATAACACCTAATCCAACGGAGAAGTTGCTTTGGAGCGTTCGTTCTTATGAATAAAGTTCTTGTGAAATGAATCTTCCTATAACATCTGCCACCTGACCTAGTTTTGCTTCCATAAATGCACACACAAAAAATGTACTTCCTCTTCAACTTGAGCTAAAATACACAGAACAGCTTACTCTTCTTCCTATAGACTTCAAGCTAAAATTATCCCCAAATTGCTTCAACCTTTCTGAGGTTCTGGATACACTCCCATACCAGATCTGAATTTTGGAAGAATCACAGCTGCCCATCCCTGAGCACTCTCTGTTAGGGTCCCTTTAAAAGCATAGGACCCCAGAGCAAATTCCACATCACTGGTGACCAGTCCTATGATGACAAGGCTATTGCAGTACTTGCTGCAAATCAAGTATTTTATTAACACAGGTTAAGTCGGTTACAGCTTTTTATATATTCAACACAATTTCTTCTACGGCTTTGACAATCCATAGGAAGTTTTTAGTCAACTATAAATTAGAATAGAAAGCCATACCAAGTTGATTTACATTTAATAGGATAGGGTGCTTACCTCACATTCTCACACTGTAATATATTTGAAGATCCAGGGGGGAGCCCTTAAGAAGGAGCACTAATGACAGAGATCCTGGCACACCCTAATTAGTTTTGTCATACCAGAAATACTGTATTCAAGCCTACCTCTTCCACACCTCCTAAAAAGGCAATAGAGGACTTGAATACAAACAACAGAGAACAGAAGGCTTTGCATACGTGGTTCTGCACTAAGGAATGTGACTAATGTGGACAACAGTGTCTGCACTAGATCAAACCTTCAACGTTTTTTTAGAAACCAAATCCACTTCGACAGAGTCCATTCGGACTCAAAGCAACCCCGCAGGACAGGGGAGAAGTGTTGCACGGGGTTTACGAGGCTGTAGGAAAATCTCTTTCTCCCAAGGAACACCTGATGGGTTTCAAGCTGCTGGCCTTCTGGTTAGTAGCCCAAACTGAACCCACTGCACCCGTAGGAATCCTACTTCAAGGAGACAACATTTAACCTGTCTCCAAATATCCAAATGGGTCTAGGGGTCTGTCACGAAGGGCAGACTGTTTAGCCTGGTTCCTGGGGTTTCTGTTGGCATCCCTTAAGGACTGAACCAGCAATGCCTGAGTATCATTAGAGGCAGTCCAACCTCCCCACCCCCACCCACTCAGCAGGCATCTCCTCTCATCACAAGGGCTGACTTTTGAATTGGGGGAAGGGGGGGTATCATGTGACTTGGCCAAACAGAAGTCCTATCCTGCATATGAATCAAAGCTTTCAAATCTTGCTTTCACCATTGACCAGCTTCTGGCTATATAATTGTAGACACATTACTTTCTTAATCACGGAGTCTTCAATGTCCTCATCTGTAAAACTAGAACAATTAAATTTCCAAAGCTGCTTTAGAAAAGAAGCTAAAGGCATGTGATATGCCCAACACAGTATCTGGTCACTAGAAAGGAAGGTCCCCTTTCCTATCCTGCCCTACACTACGCTCCTTTGCCTCCCAAAGTTTCTGTAGGCTACAGCATCCTACAGTTTATGTAAAAAAAAAAAAGTATACTTTAAGTTATTACATTTATTTTAAGCATAATCATCCTTTTTCAGACATGTGTAGTAGGCATATATCTTTTAAAAAATGTGTTTCCCTTACCATCTGCGGCAGTGCAGCGAGAAGCCAGTTCCCACAAGACTAATCCCATGGCGTACATATCTATCCTCAAAAATGCATCCCTTTGGAAGTTTATAGCACCCTCTAATACCTCTGGAGCCATATACCTCCGGGTACCAACCTGAAAAAGATGTTGAAAGTAAACAGCACTCGTTCATTAACTTCATGAACTAATATTTTACAACTTTGTGCAAAGAATCAAAGAAAATGAAAAGCGCTCTGATACCAGGTAGGTAACGGTAACTAATGAGGACGATCACATTATGGGGTCAAGCAGACATTAGTTCTACTTCCAGGAGTGCCACAAGCAGACCACTATAAACAACCCAAAATACCCACAAGTAAGTGCTTAAGCAAATGTGGTCCTATGTAGCTCCTTAAAAAAACATGAGCTAGATCTTCACATGCTGATATTGAAAACCGAAACCACTGTTGAGTTAAAAAAAAACAATGAAACAAGAAACAACGCTGTATGAGTAGTGAGATCCTTTCAGGGGAGCCTTTAAAATATATATATTGATAGCCATAAGGGGGCTTCAAAAAGTTCATAGAAAAACTGTATTAAAAGACAATGGAATTTATTACACATTTTATGAAGCTCCCTTGTGTATAGATACTGGTACAAGTCTTAGAAGTGCTTTCCCTTTTCTGGGAAGAAATCCTGAGAAACTGAACAGTGGTTGGCTGTGTGGAGTAAGATGGGACAGAGAAGTTGAACATACTTTTCATATATATATATGTCTAAAATGTATCTTTAAAAAATTTTTTTTAAATCATTTTATTAGGGGCTCGTACAACTTTTATCACAATCCATACATACATCCATTGTGTCAAGCAAAAAAATATTTTTAGTGATGGCTTTTTCCTCTGTATTAGAAAAATGAATCAATATCATTAAACTTTTAAAAAGTATTAGCAAAATAAAGAAAGGACAAAGTTAATGTATACATTTACTTATTCATGAGTTCTTCCCTCTACTTTAAAGAGTCCTTTACAAATATCAGTCCCTTGCAACTTGGTATTTCCGAAGACAGTAACTATGATGTCACAAGCTTTGGCTGGTGCTTGACAGCATTCATAAAGAAAGGCTAATGACACAGTGGTAAGATGGCTGGGTCGACCAGAATCAATGTGAGTTTTAGTAGATTCAGGGGGCGGGCCTGCGGGAGTGGTGCCCTGGTGACTGTGCACAGTTGCTAGACTAAAAGCTGAACTATTACCAACAAATATGAGGAGCTTCAAAAATTTCATGGATATGTCCATGAGCGGTCAATTCCAATCTCCACTAGCTTTTACAAGACTCCTTATATTTATGTAACAGGAAAAAATAAATCACCGAGACCCTAAGGTACAAGTTTTTAATTCATTTAATATCGAAAATACTTTGAAGGGGAGGGGAAAATGGCCTTACATTTTTTTAAATAACTACTTTAACGGTAGTATAAGAGAATATTTCCCAAAAGCCTACCAATTTATCCCAGTAAAGTATTTCTTTTATTGTGAGATGATGGTTTATCTACCTTTTTGTATAAAATGGACTCTTCAATAAACTGAGTGTTAGTAGATAAAATCTGTAATTTTCCCCCCAGTGGTCATTCCTTGCAATATAAAATGTATGTGACAGCATGCAAGCCCCTTTAAGTAGGCCTGAAATGTTCTTGTCCTCAAAATCTAAAGAAATGGAACCAATGCTGTAGTTACTACAAAATTAGGTATTTCCTCTCATGGAGTGAGCCCGTATGAGGGAGTTAAAAGATAGTACTACTGAATCCCAATCAACGTCTTTTTCCCTAAAAGGAGTAAAGGGGAGATAGTTATGAGGAGCAGATGATGAAAACCCTGCCAACAACTGGTCCTGTATCATCATAATCACACAATCAGCTCAGAAGTCTGTCTCTAGGCTCCCCTCGTCCATCTCAGTAACAGATCCCACAAAACCCCCTTCATTCCCAGACGTGGGGTGTCAACTGCTTCTAGAGCTGGCTGCCTGTGGCCAGTGCTCTAAACTGAAATTTGAAATTGTTAGTCAGTATTGCCAACATCTGTTTACTGTGTTCTTTGGGATCAATAGGATATATTGCAAAAAAGGAGCTGAGACTAAGCTGACCAAATAATTAACACCATCTGAAAGATGAAGAAATTACACAGCCCAAACCTGGATCATTCGGCTGTGCGACCAGAAAAACTTTTCATGCTTGCAAGATGATCCAGTAGGAGTGGGAACATCTTCCCTAGCTTCAGTGTTTCTGAGAATAAAACTATGGATAATGTTCTTTCCTCCTTTGGCCTTCGTAGAGGTGACCTGTTCCTTTGGGCAGACCTTCACAAAAGTTACACACCTCACCCGAAGCTTTACAAGAGAACTCAAAGAAAGTCATGAAACCGATGAAAGAATTAATGAAATAATAAAGAACAGGAATCAAGAAACTATCATAATTGTCTGGGAAAATAGGCAGGAGAACTTAATGCACTCTAGAAAGATTGATGATTGTTCTTCCATTCCTCTTAGAATGGGGGGAGAATTAACAAGTGAAAACTACTGAGTAATAGGTTAGATACAACAAGAATTTACAAGCCTGAAGCCTATTCAAAGGGGCCAGATTCTTCTCTGATTAGTCTTATAAGTAGACAATCCCATGTCATCTATCCAGATGTTTTATGAACTGTTTGAACAAAATCACCTGAGGGTCCTAACTCTACCACCATATGGAAACATCATCCTAAGAAAATGTAATGTGCAGTGCTTAAGAAAGTAATTTTATATTAGATGCTGATTTAAAACTACAACAATTTTATCCATTCAATCCTGACATATCATCCTAAGAAAACATGGAACAGGCTTCTTTTTCCTTACCTGTCCGTGGGTATCACCTGCCGACTTGCCAGCTTCAAACTTTAGCGCCAAACCAAAGTCAGCAATGCACGCTGTCAGGTTGTTTTTCAACAGCACATTTTTACTCTTGATGTCCCTGCAAGTTAAAAATGGAAGTATTCAAAATAAGTTTAAACATGCTATCTTATTAAAACATTTTTCTGAAGGTGGGAAAAAGTAAGATCGTGTGCTGTAACAGAATAGTATTTGAAAGTACAAAGCTCAAAGAAACAGAGACAAGGGACTCTTAAGCAAAATTCCCATATGCTTAGGACAAAAGAGTAAAATGACAAACTCCTATTCATAACATAGACAATATAACAAGGAATCTTGTCCACTAATTAGCTTTATAAAGAACTATCAGTCCCAAACCGTCCATCCTACATGTCAACCTATGTGTTGTAACTGACTCACTAGCAACTAACTGCATGTTATCTAGATTACTCCATTTACCAGACCCAGAATTACTTTTCTTAAGAGAAAAAGAGATCAAAGTACATACTTACATAAACTCAATTTTCTTTCATGAAAGAAGTTTTTTTAAAAAGCTCTGAAGGACCTCTTGGCTACTGGCACAAGCTTGTATTTCAGAACCACCCCTCATTCTAAGTGCTCCTACATTCTTCCACCTAGTCGTGGAGTGTCATCCATCTCTCTAGAGAGATTCCTGTTGAGTGTCATCGAGTCAGCCCTGACCCACAGCAGCACTACCCAGTCCTGTGCCACTGCCTTGGTTGAGTCCACTGTCAGTCACTTGTCTGTCCATCTCCTTGAGGGCCTTTCTCTTTGTCATGACCTGTACTAATAAGCACGCTATCTTGTCCCTCCAGAGAACGGAGCCAAAGTACACAAGATGAAGTCTCATTTTTCTCGTTTTTAAGGAGCATTCTGGCTGTACATCTTCCAAATTAGATTTGTTTGTTTTTTCTAGCAGTCCATAACATATTTAATATTCATCTCCAACGCCATAATTCAAAGGCTTTCATTCTTTTCTGGTCTTCCCTATTCATAACCAAACTTTACTATGCATATGAAGCAACTGAACACCCCTTAGACTTTAAAGCCCACCTTAGACTTTAAAAGTGACACCTTTACTTTTTAACACTTTAAAGAGATCTTTTGCATATATGACCAATGAAGTACGTCATTTGATTTGTTACATGCTGCTTCCATGGGTGTTTGTGGATGCAAGTAAAATGAAATTCTTAACCATTTCAATCTTTTATGTTTATCAGGATATTACCTATTGGTCCAGTTGCAAGGTTTCTATTTGTTTGTTTTTATCGTTGAGGTACAATACACATACTGAAGGTTATAATTTTTTTAATTCTTCATCAGTATGTATTCCCAAGGTCCCCTCAGCATGCAGCAAGCAAGGCTGTTTTATCTGCATGTCGTATATTAATGGCTTTCCTCTAATTCTAATGTCATATACTTCTTCAGACAGATGTAATCCCAAAGCACTTTTCCTGATTTTAAATCGCAGTTTCCCCTTCTTTTGTTGGCTCAACTGCCTCTTGAACTAGCACTGGTTCCTCATGAACCCAAGTAAATGCCCTAGAATCCCCATTCTTGGCAATGTTATGCATAGTTTATTATGATCCGCACAACCTTTGCACAGTCCATAAAGCTAAGGCAAACAAGAGTTACACAAAGTCTCTTCTTAGTTAACTACCCTACAATTATTTAGTCCCCAGTCCCCAGATAAGGACATCATGCTTGGTAAAGTAGAGGGGCAGCAAAAAAAAAAAAAGAAAGGCTTTCACGCGATGGCACAGGGGACCCAACGATGAGCTCAAGTATAAGAACAACTGGGGGATGGAGCAAGACCACACATTGCTTCACTGTGTTGTGCATAGGGTCACTATGGGTCAGAATCGACCCTAACACCTAACAACGCAACAACAACTCGTTATAATCATGTCAGGGTGAAACAGACTCCTCTTGTATTTGCAAGTGAGAAAATACATGTTCGTTCTTAACCAGGCTTTCAAAAATGAGCTAATTTACACTGTAAAATGATTGGTAAACTCTGGTCAAAATCACAGTGGATTTTTTTTATAAAAAGAAAGGAAATCTACTGCCTCTGACAACACAGTTACATATCTAGGGGGAGAAGCAATTTTGTCCGGGGGATTAAAGTTTTAATAATACACAAATACTGAGTTATTAGAAAGACAGCATCAATTTAAATCTACCTGTGAGATATGGCAGGCTTGTGGCCATCTTTCAGGCCAGGTATATCCTCATGTAAATATGCTAACCCTCTAGCCATGGTTTCTGCAATGTGGCACAATTCATGCCACGAGACCACATTCGCCTTAAGAAAATCCGAGAGGGAGCCCTAAAGGAGAAACAAAGGTGATTATAGAGACAACTGGCACTACCCAAAAAGCAGACTTTCTGAAATGATTCAAGGTTTCGTCCCTCCAATTCACCTACAATAAACATTTTTTCAGAAATTAATGACACTAATCTTATAGGGTTTATATAAAGACAGTTAGGCAAATCCTCTCTATTTAAAAGGGAAAAATAAAAAGCTGAAAATTGAGAGTTCCAGAGCATGTTTTCAAAGTTAACATATACTGATCACAAAGGCATCTATCATCGCACTAAGAGAACACTAATGAAGAGCTACAGACGAACATAAAGAAGTTTTCTCTCAAGATCACTTGTCTTTCTTTTGGTAAAAAAAAAAAAAGCCCACATACAATAAAGTAAAAGAGCCTCTTCTACCTGACAATTATGAAACCTATTACCAAAGAACATAATTTCCTACTTCATAAGCATTAGTGTCATAGCAACTCTGAGGGTAGAAAAATTTGAGGCAAAATAACAACTGTGTTTTAGTGATAACTATCTGCAAGTTTGTGACAAATCTACTATCGGATAAAGTTTCTAACTCTGATTTGTCACTCGACTAGGTTGATTAAGGAGTTTTAAGATGCAAAACCCACATATAAAAACTATTCATACAATCAAAATATATTTAAATGATGCATGAAAATTACTAAGAATTAGTTATACTAATTCTTATTTGTAGTATCTTACTTATAAAAAGTATCTGTTTTGCTGAGAGAGGTAACTGCAGCACAGGAAAACGAGCAACAGGTTAACACTGTGGTAATGAATAGAGGGTTGGATGAAAAGTTACCATGTTTTGCTCTTTATTAAAATAAATTAATTTGTAAAATAGATTTAAGAGTGATTTTCATTTTCAGTTATTTAACAGTCAGCCGAAACAACCTATGATCTCCAGAAAAATATGCCTGAGAGAGAGGTACCCAATATTAAGTAGGGAGGTCAACCTGATTTTACAAAACGATATTTAAGTGGAAAAGCACTTGACCTTTTCATGAAATGCTGTGATTAGCCAAAGATCCACATCAACATTGGTGCCTCGCTTTTCTGCACCAATAAATTGCAATATATTCTCATGCTTCATACCAGGCAAACTATAGACTTCATACTCATTTTGCCATGATTGTTTGTCCTAGAGTTAGGGTGGGGGGATGGTAAGAACACAAAGAACATAGATTAATAAACCATGTCTAAGATATTATTCAAATAATGTTAAGGCAAAAAATAAAGCATTGCAAGTTTCTTTTGTTTTCTCTTGGGTTTTAAAAGAAAAAACTCTGAAAATAGCTAATAGTTCCATACCAGATGCTCATCCCCTCAAAAGAAGTGTGTCTATATTTCTAGTTTGCACACACAGGTAGGGTTAACTAGAAAGGTTGTGTTTCTGTATCTTACAGTGAGAACACATTCTGCTTACAAGTTAGTACTGCCGGGTAATTTCACCATGATGTGAATAACTCATTGCTCCTATTAAAATAATGTGTCTGAAAAATTAAATTCAGATAGAATTTCTTCATTTAAATAAATTTAATTTAAATTTTTTTCAATGACTGATGTATTATCAAACATTCCTCAGAAAGTTCAACAAGAGAGAACTGGGGCATAAATATGCAATGCAATTATTGAAGCATGCCACCTATTCAGTTGTGTTTGCCATGATCTAGGCCTAACACGTCCACTTATAAAAAAAGTATTTGCTCATTTGTTTTCACTATGAAAAGCATAGTGAAAATGAGAGGCACACTAGCATCATGGATCCAAACTACCTAATTCTGAAAGCTGAGTCTCCCACTGACCTTTGGTAAATGACATGATCACTCAAGTCTCCCCAAGGGCACTAATGCCTGCCTCACAGGACTGACCACTGTATCCTATGTCATATATTGTGAATACCATATGTTGCATTATATGTACCAATGTAATACATACACATATACTATTTCTGATTACTATTTGTAAAGCACCTATACCTGACAAACCCACAAAAGGATTTATCAATATGTTAGTTTAGCTACTGTTATTATTGCTACTCTTAAATTAATATCACCCGAACACCTGTCCCTAATTTAATCTTTTTCACACAATGTAGTGTATTTTCCTCCCTGATCTTACTATTTATGGATCTTGGAACAATAGAATAGGCTCTTCCTCTGAATATGAGAGTTTACAGCAGATGTTCCCAAACTTATTTGGCATATCACCCCTTTTCAGGGGGAAAAAATGACTTACTGTCCCTCTGACAATTACCCGTGATCGATCCAGGGTACTTTGTAGGTGTCTGCTTTTGTAGCGCCCTGGATGGTTCTAGCACACACACACACACACGCCCTCCCCCAGGATGCAGTTATCACCTACTTTGGGAAGCACTGGCGTATACTGTCTTCGTTGATAACATATAACAAGGAACCGTATAGGGCAGGGCAGAACAGCCTCTGTGGGTTTTGGAGACTCTAACTCTTTAGGAGAACAGGAAACCCTATCTTTCCCTCACAGAGCAGCTTCTCCAACTGCTGAGCTTTCGGACAACATCCCAATGTGTAATCCACGACACCATGAGGGCGCCTACAGGGTCACGGAGTCAGAATTGACTCGCATGAGTTTTTGAGTGAACATTGCTAACATCAACAACAAAGGTCAATCCACTTTTTCACAGATTCTAAGAAAGAGGCTCTCTGAGAAGAGCTCTCGGCACTATACCTATCACAGTTTTCAGGGGCCCTGAAGCAAGAGTCATCACAGAGCTATCCTACCAGTTGGACAAAGTAAACCAGAAGAACAGGCCAGAGTTTGATGAGTGGGCCCATCCCCTTTGAAAGAAAACCAATTCAACAGTAACCAATTAATTGGGGGCTTGATTCAATGCTTTTGGAAATTCACCAAATAAAAACTGAAATGATTCTACAAACACTCAAAATAGGAGAAAAATGAATCAAAGTCTGGCATATACCTCAAAATAGCTATTTCTTTTTCTTTTTAAAAAAATAGCCATTTATAAAACAAAGCACACTACTCTCTTCACTCCTCAATTTCCTGTTTTTAGCTAGGTTAGTGGGACATTAAAATTTAACATTCTGATGAAAAGTTTTATTTATGGAAATTTTCATCTTAGCATTTCTGTAGAATTTTTATTGGTAAATATGCCCTATAAAATAATTTCTTGTAATCCCACCACTGCAAGCAAAAATAATGATTGGTGTTCTAATAACCTCATTTCTCAGATGAAGAAGCAAACATAAAAGGAATAATGGCTTTTCCTAGTTTCACCAGAACCACTTTGAAACACAGCTTTCAAAATGCTTCTGAGTTACAACGGCCTACCCACTTGCATCTTCCAAAACTGTATACAGACTATAAACTGCAATAAACATACCTGCATTGGAAATATTTTGACAGCCACATATTCATTGAGCAACTGGGCTTTCCAGACACACCCAAATCTTCCCCTTGCTTTCACTTCTAGCAATTGCAGTGGCTTCAACCCTAGTAATGGAGAAGGTGGGGGTGGTCCTGGATCCTATAGATAAACAATAATAATATTGTAAATAAGCTGCACATGATACATATCCACTTGAAAATGATAGAACAGGTGAGCATGTGGAAGAATCAATTAACAGAAGCAGGAAACAAGTACAAGTGACATTAGTTTGAATCTTGCCATAACTAAGTTCTCAAGCATTACTAATCAGCCATAGAAATCACAAGGCAGGCAACTTGGATGAAAAGTTTTCATAATCATATTCCACACTATTGCTACATATGTATAACCCATAGGGTTTGCAATGACATAAATCTTTACTGAGCAGAAAGCTGCATCTTTCTCCCATGGAGCAACTGGTAGGTTTAAACTGCTGACCTTGTGGTTAGCAAACACTTACCCAAAAGCACCACCAGAGTTCCTCTATATATGTAGAGAAGCGGAAACCATCTATCATCTTTTCATCCAGTTTTATTATTTTGCCCAATTAAGATCTCTGTAAATTTTAGGATATTGCTCGTGGTATTTCATTGTTTCACTCATTTTGCACTTCCTTACAGGAAGATTTGAAAAGTTCCAGAAACAGGAAACTACATTTCAAACTAAATTTCTCTTCACAATTTTCTACTTTCCCCAACTGTAAATCTTTTCTTCATTAATCTCAGAAACAATCATAGACATTTTTAAGTACATTTCAGATAGAATGTCAAATACAGTGCACATCAAAGAACTGTAGAAGCTAATGTGACTATAGCCAAACTGCTTGGTTCATTCTAATTTTCCAGAATATTAACACGTTATCCTGTGCTTACAATTACTTCCCAAAACTGATGTGAGATTTTAACAAAGCACTCCCCGCTAAAAAAACAAAATTGTGCCCAGGACTGATTGGCAAAAAAATTAGAAAATAATAATCCAGAAAATATATTATCATGATAGTAGAAAACAAAGTAAGGTAAACTAAAAGGTTTAGTACTATAGCGGATATATAGAGCAAAGCAACTATAATCTATATAGTACAGCACTTTGAAAATCACAAGGAGAGCCTCCCTTTACAAAGTTTATAAAGTGGCAACACTTCATTGAAAGCATGTTTATCAACACAGTATCTGTAACTAAAGCAGCACATACTGTACAATGCCTGAAAAGCATTCAAAGAAATGCAGTAAAAATGTGTCAGGGGCTGCACGAGTACCGCGAAGACTAACTTAACAATTCTGTGGCAATAATAGGCACGATTATAGAGGTGACACCTATCAAAAACAAAAGCGTACGAACTGCCTTCAAGTCAATTCTGATTCATGGAAAGGCTAAAACAGCCCCTGTGAATTTCTAAGACTATAAACCCTATGGGAACAGAAAGTCTCAACTTTCTCCCTCAGAGGGGCTGGAAGTTGCCAATTGCTGCCTTACGGTCAGCAGCTCAACCGACAACCATTACGTCACCAGGGCTGCAGGTGCCACAGAAGACACCTGTAAACCCTGGGTCCCTGTGTGTCAGCGCTCTATCTCCACCTCTCTTCCCCTGGTCTCATCTTCTAAGGCTTCTAGACTTCTACTGTCTCACTGTACTGGTACTAAAGAGGCATTGACATTAGAATGGCCCTCAAAATAGAAACATTGTGAAGAAGTATAACTAGTATAAATATGCACTTTCTTGTCTTAACCTAAAGCAGTTTAGAATTCCTATTTTAAAGCTGGAAGATTAACTAGAAGATTACCTATTACTCATTTTCATCTAAGATACTTATTTCTTAAATGTCTACAAAAGTTGCATATCTTTCTTGTATTCAAAATATGCCTGTTAGGATAATGGAGTGACCCGTCAAAAAGATCAGGTCTAAATCTCCTAAGAAGTTACATCTCTAGAGTTAGGATGCTCACTGCGGCGGAAGAGAGGCAGGATCCAAGAATCTCTAGAGAGGTTTCCTTAATCCTACACCCTTTCTCCCAACTCCTACACTGACACCTCCATATGTCAGGAGAGGCTCTACCAAAAGGAACGTGTGACACATATAAACATGCAGAAGGAAAAGGGGCCGGGGACTAGAAAGGATTCTTCTAATGGCAAAGAAAACCATTCAGTCTTCAAGGCACAAGAATTCTTGTACAATTTCAAAAAGAAAACAAGCTAAACTTTTTAGAAGGGAGAATTTCAAAACAAACTATGCCACAAACTATTTGGGCAGGGGCTGATAATGGCTCTCTAGAAAACAAACACATGAAAAAAAAGAAAGAAAACAAACACTACCCAAGCTCTGTTCTAAGGGTGCCAACCACATGACTATGATTTCTTCTATACAACAGGATTCAGATGATTTCATTTGTACCTCAATCTGAAAATGCATCCAAGATACAATTACAGTATGAAATTAACCTTAACTTTAGGAAACATTCAATAATTTTTAATGTGTATGTTCTGGAGGAGCAAAGTATCATTAAATGTTGTCCAAATGCATTAATCATGTCAAAGTTCCAAAATTTCCAGGCCTCTATTGTCAAGTAATCACACTACTATAACTTCAGAAAGAAATCTTATACCTCCCTCTGAATTACAGTCAATATTAGATAATAACTGTCAGAAAACACACCTTTCAAAGTTATATATAATAAGTATGAAGGTTAAATGAAGGAGAACCCTGGCCTATTTTCATTGATAAGAAACTTGAGAAGGCACTTCCCTGAACAATGTCAAAATTTTCTAGAACTGATTTTAATGTAATTTAGAACTGATTTAAATGTAATTTTAAATTGTTTATCTTATAAGATTTAATGTTTAGTTCAAAACAAACAAAAAAGTATGTAATAAAGATGACAAATTATTCAATATCATTACTGTAATACTAATAGTTACCTTTTGGCTTTTAAATGAAAAATCACTAGATTCTTCTTATCATTACATTTATAAAAAGCTCTAAAAACACATCTAAAATCTAGGTTTTACTCAGCCTATAATCTATCTAAGATTACTAGAAATTATTTTTAGCTTATTATCATGATTACACTGATTTATACACACGTACATACACACACACAGACACCCCTCTCAATACTGGATCCAATGAGTAAAAGTTTATACCTTAAAATATTCAAATGTGTTCAGGGGACAAATTTAAACTTCATTACCTAGAGCAACATTCTGATGTTATACATAAAACATGGCTCTGCCTGGCTACATAAAAATAAAATATTTTAAATAAAATAACCACATTTCTGGGCAACCATAAGAAGTAGAGAATTCCAGAAAAGCTTATCTAAAGCTGCAGTTCTCCTGCAATATTCATGGTACTCTGGAAGCCTAGAAAACGGAGACATTAGAACATGGCACTGATTACATCTCTGCTTTACCCATTCCTGCGACAAAATTATGGCACCATAATCATATTTGGAAGAAACCAATGACTATAATCAGAAAGAGTTCCCCATGCCTACTTTAATCAATATTATAACCAATACTGGAGTAAATTATGGGAGGGGTAAAGCAGTCTGTAATCATTTTACTTATTCTTGTTCTCTGTCTTAAAGGTGAGTTCTAAATTAAACATAGCCCTAACCTCTGAACATCAAGAGTAAAGATCATCAAGATTATAATTTACTAGCCAGTCCATTTGATAATAATGTTCAAGCTGAAACTATCTAAAAACACAGATTACACATCAAAAATAGTGGCCTGGACCAGAATACCCATGTTGAAAATTAGTATATGTTGAAATTCAAAACAACAGAACACTATAAGAATTAACCATACAAGGTTGTCAAGACTAGAATCTAGTCATTAGGTGTCGACTTCTGTATTTTCACTTTTTCTCTTAATAGTCATCAGGTAAAATAGTTTTGCCATTCTACCTTAAATAAGTATAAATAATTTTGATAACTTTTACAATAAAAACTATTACTATGGCAAATAATGTATGTTTTTAATACTATGGTAAAAGACATATGGTAAAAGACTGCTACAACATAAATTTATACATTATTAAGGATGCACAATAAAGCAACAAAAAAATAAAATGTAAGAACAAAATGCTTAGTTATCCACAAAAAGTTCCACAACCATAAAACAAACAGCAATGCATCTTACCTCTATCATTATATGAAAGGCGTGCTTGTGAAGAAAAAACACAGGCAAAAGAAATTACGATTTATATCCAGAATGGAATGAAAAATGACACATCAGTAACAAAAGTGAAGAAAGAAGAATAATGATTTAGCTTTTAAAAGTTGGCGGTGATCCAATGTAGTTTGTTTGTTTGTTTGTTTGTTTAATTAAATAAGGATACTGAGAACACTTTCCTTATAAACCAAAGGAAAGTAATGAAGAAACAAAGAAATTCTGGGTACAGTGTTACCTATCAGATGAGGGGCAGTACAAATTCTTAACCCTAATATAACCCAAATTAGCTGATCCATGGGCTTTAAGCCAGCAAATAAAAGTAAATCAAGTCTTAAATAATTGCTATTGTTCTAACAGGTTCTATGTTATAACAGTAAAACAATCTACTACTCAACTGCGGATATGAATTGAGATTGGCTTCTGGACACCAGAGGGCAGTATTGCCTTTACCAAGAACTGTTGCCAGCAGAAATAAAGCAATTTATACAGAGCTAGCCAAGGTTCCTCTAAGACCATACTTTTTAAGAGTTTTTTGAGAGTTGGGTTAAAAATCTCTAGAATCCCCTAGTCTCTGAACTGCTTCACTCCCCTTTAGTGTAAGACATATATTCATAAGGGCAAACCGAAACATGTGTCTGATGTTTGAGAGTGTGAAAACCAAATGATGCACTGGGATAAAAGAAACAGACAAGGAAAGAGCAAGACCATCGAGTGGAACACAGCGACAGACCAGGCATGCTTGCTCATCGACCTTCCAGGCCACGTCAATCATGAAGAAGCTAAAGGAGTGGCGGCCTAAGACAGAATGCCCATCATACTTCTCACAACGTGAGCCTACTCAGCCACTCAGGCACAGCCAGAGTGACGTCTGTGCAGTCATTCCAAAGTAAGTTGCTGTTACTGTTACGGACCATGGAGTCAATTTCTACTCATATAGCCCACATTGGATAGAGTAAACTGCCCGATAGGGTTTCCCAGGCTGAAATCTTGACAGGAGCTGACTGTCAAGTCTTTTCTCCTCTAAAAGCCCTGACCTAAAAGTGCTGACCTGGGGGTTACCAGCTGGGAGCTGACACACTGCACCACCAGGGCTCCTTTCCTCAAATACAAAGGAAGTTAAGTCACAGAGAACTGAGATCAGGCCTTAAGTACCTTAAAGAAACAGAAACAGCAACACTGTGTGAAACTACTGCTTCTCACCTCAAGCTCCACAGATCCATACACTTCTGAAGGTATCTAATCTTTCCTCAAAAAACTCTGCACTCTTCAATTTATGCCATGTCACAACAGCAGTTTGGGCACCCTCGAAGAATTCAAACCATGTTCCTTATAACTGTTCTTTGAATTTGGAAAACAAAAACCAGTATAAGTATGAAGGGGTAGAAGGGGTAAGGTTTCCCAGTGAAGTTCTCATAGGAAGTTCTCATAGGACAACCCTTCCGACTCTTGGAAGAATGAATTGGTGCATTGACACATGGGAAATATTTCTTGGAGCAATTTTCCAGACATTTTCCTCACCTTTTAAAATTAACATCTCTTTATACAATTGATGTGTGGATGGATTGTGATAAGAGTTGTATGAGCACCTAATAAAACGATTAAAAATATATTAAAAAATAAAAAATAAAAATAACTTCTGCTTAGTAATCCCGCCAAATTGTCCCATGACCATGGGGAATATCTAACAAGATTCCTCCTTTGATAACCCACCCAAAACAGTCACCATAACCTCCAGGGCTGACCTCTGACTTGAATTTAATGAAACCAGTAAACACCCTCAGAAGCCACTGTTTGTACTGGACCTTGGTCACTGGGTATATCCAAGATTTGTTCCTGGTTCAATCTGTCTGGTAAAATCACCTTCACTACCTTCTATCTCGATGATGCCAAAGGAAGACTAGGGAGAGATCAACTCTTGGTGCGAACTACTTTTTGAGTTCCCCTGGCAGATAATGTAAGAACTTTCAGAGAAACAGTGTCACAAAGAAAGGTTGTGAATTCAACAATCCCTGATTATATTCCTGTTCACAATATTTTTACAGAGAATAGAGCTCACTTGTGATCAAGAATTTTGAGTTTTCATTTGCTTAACTACGAGTTGCTTAACTAGTTTTCCTTCCTTTTTGATTTTATTCCTATGATAATGATTTAGTACTGTTTATAATTAATTCAAGAAGGTTAGCTAATACTACTATCAAAACATCTAATCAGTACTCCAGAGAAAATTGCATCCCTTGGAAGAAATGCATGCCAGCAGAATAACAAACTACACGAGAGCGTCCCAAAGATCTGCAGACAGGGGCTCAAAAATCCCCTCAGTCTTGTTTCCATGAGTAATTCTTTCAAAGAAAAAGGTATCACTGAACTAACACTGAGAAGGTAGGTGTTATATCTTACCAGAAAGTACACCTTTGCTCAAAACACAGTTCAATAAATGAGCATTAGAATAAACTATAATATGGCCCAAGGAAATTATGAGACTCCAAGAACAGGGCTCTATGTCTAGACTATGTGACAAAATAAGAAAGGTTAAAACAGAACCCAAACAAATAAATATACTGAAATAGATGAATTTATATTTTTTAAAAAGAGAGAGCCAAACAAAACCATTTGGATCCACGATATATAACATGTAACCTTAATATCATACAGTGTAATAACAGCACATTGATAACAAGTAATTCAGTTGCTGAATGAGAAGCAGCTTTAGAGGAGAAAGAAATTAACAACAGCCAAACTTTAGAAAAGACTTTCTTCATCCATTCATTAATTCATCCATTCAACAAATCTTGTTTGAGGGCCCTGTTTGTGTCAGGAACTGACTGGCCAGCTTTCATGAGGCTTACAGCAGTGGAGGGGACAAAGCATTAACCAATCACACTAAGAAGTGCATACATGTAAATTAAGGAAAAGAAAAAGAAATTCAATACCATGGGCACCTGTGAAGAGAAATGTAGAGTTCACATACTGTCGGGTTAAATAAGAGAAGATTTACCTGAGGAAGGGAGCCCTGAAAACCGAGAGGGAAGACTGTATTTCTTAAAGGAAAAGATAGTGGGTCACCTTCGAGATCTCTAGCTTGTGGTCCCATATTTACTGAGGACCCAGTGCCAGGTTTGGGGGAGAAGACACTCATCTGAAGATAAGCAGTAGCAGTTAAACATGCAGATCTGGGATTTAGAGAAATATTTCTGGAAAAGGATTTTGATCACACACACACGAGCTTCAAAACGTTTGTGGGAAATTTCTATTATCTTTCAATTCCATTTTTCCAAGAACTTTTTGAAGCGTGTGTGTGTGCATGTGTATGCGCGCGTGTGAGAAAGAGAGAGAGAGCGCTCTCAATCTAATAGCCACAACATAGAATCAAACATGCCAACATATAAACTATGGTTTAGGACCAACAATGTTTTGTTATTACATATAATGTCACTTGTCATGATTCAGAACCAACTGAACTGAAAATATACACTCACATATATGCACAGAAAACAAGCGCTAGACAGTTTTTAATTTATTTTCTATTTGAACCATTCCAAGATTTGTTTTGCTTTTTTATTTCAATTTGAATACCTAACGCAACAACCTCTTTGAATTATTAAGAAAAGAACAAATTCTAAATTTGTTTCCTTTTAGTCATCTAGTTATATTCAAAGAAATTTTGTAATTTCAAAAGAAGGCTATTAATTAGCAATCAAACAAGAAATGGAATACTTAAAGATATAATATTGTGTATATATTTGTGTGTGTGTGAGAGAGAGAGGGAGAAAGAGATTAAATGTTTCTGAGCTTGGAAAAGTAAGATATTATCAAGCACAGGCATAATTTTATGCAATTAGATCTTTAAAATGCCTTTGGGTTATATCAACCTCTACTTCCTACAGTTTCTCTCATCTACTCCTCCTGAAAGCAAAGCAAAGAAGGGCCAGGGTGAATAAAACAAAGACTCTGGATATGTTCCCTACGCAGCAGTGAGAACCTCAGGATAGCCAGCACTGTGGTTTAAAAATCTAAAGGAGACATAGGTGTGACCCTACTCTGGTTTTTTTTCACTGTTGGGTTTATGACTAGTTACAGAAGAAAATTTATTTTTTATCTATTTTTGCGTTTGCATTATGTAAGTGAAGCTGATGCAAAGGAAATCCAAACAGGCTGTAGATGAGTAAATTGTGGTGGTGTTAGGTGTGGCTAAGTTCATTAACTTATAGCAGGTGACGCCATATGACTAAGTTGAACTGCCCAGAGTTACAGGCTGCAATTTTTACCAAAGCAGATCGCCAGGTCTTTCTCCCTCAGAGTTTTTAGTGATTTCAAACCACTCACCTTTCGGTTAGCAGCTGAGCACTGAATGATTGAGCCACCAGGATCACTATGCATACACATTCACTATAAAACAAATCCCAACTACTGGTTTATTAAAATAAGCCATTTTATTAAAATTGCCTCAGTGGACAATAATCTTGTGAACAAACACTTTGCCATTTAATGGGGTGACTCCAGGCAAGTCACTCCACACTTGTGCCTTAATGTCCTTATCTACAAAATACATTAATAAGAGAACCTATGGGTATGATGTTGAAAGATTAAATATGTGTACTCAGTATAGGTACGTTAAAATGAATATTCAGCTACGCTAAATCTAAGCACTGAATCTGACCTATAGCAGAATGGTTTCAATAAAAATGACCTCTTCTGAGTATAATTTTGAAGTTGATTCCTGTGCAGGCAAAAACAGCTAATATGTAATGAGCATTTAACAGTAACCAAGCATAACAAAAGCCAGATGTGGCAGTTCTCCCAATTGCTACAAAACAGGAACCAGACAGTAGCTCCTCATTCCCTCCATTACTTGCCTAAAGAGTGCTGAAGCAACTCCTTTCTCACCCTCTTTGCCCTTCAGTGGCCAACTCCAAAGTAAAACAAACATGGTCTGTTTTGAGATCACCTACATATTAACTGTTGGCTCAGAAGGGCAAGCAAGCAAGGGCTAC